GCACGATGTTATTGTTAAACCTGATATGTGTATGTACAGTATATTACATAAACATCACATTAGACTCGTAATAAGGCTAAGTAATTAGCTTGTGCCATGGCCCATGGGAGAGGGAGGGAAAGCGTGTAGGTATCTCACCACAGGAACATAAGAGAAAAAAACAATGAATCTAAGAGCTTTTATAAGCATCTGAGTTGTTTTGGATTCAAAAACCAAGTTGGTGACCAATTGTATTACTGTAAAGTGAACCTCCAATCAGACCTACATAATAAAATCACAACAGAACCTCTGCTTCTCAGAGGTGTGACAATGGGGGTTGGCAAGACCAACACAGAGAAGGCTGAATTCTTAAGACAACACAGAATAAATTCATCCAGACGATAAGAGGAGTCCCTTCCGGCCTGATTAAAGACCGTACTCACGTCGGCCTCGGCGAGCCAGATCACACAGCCTTCTGGGTCGGTGACGGCCCTCACACCCGGCTCGATATTGTTGTTGTCAAACCGTGCATAAAATGCATTGAGTTCCTCTGGTTAGAGAGGCATCGTTGGGCAGATCACGGCTGGGTCTTCCTTTGTAATCTGTAATGGACTGTAGCCCCTGTCACATGCGGCGGGCGTTGGAGCCTGTGTAATATGATTCCACCTTATTCCTATATTGTCCTTTTGCTCATTTGATGTCTCTGCTGAGGTCATAGCGGGACTTCTTGTACTTGATCCTGTTGTCGGCCGTAGCATCAAGGTTGGCTGCAATAGCCCTTTGTGTGGTAGTCCTGTCCTTTAGTTTAGCGCCGACCTCTGTGTTAATCCAGGGCTTTTGAATCCGCGCTAGCAAAGCATTCCTTTTGCATAATCTCTGATTCTAGTGACCATTTCTCAACGGAGCTAGTCACGGGTACTTCCTGTTTTGAGCTTCTGCTTGTAAGCAGGAGTACGGAGTCATGGTCTGATTTGACGAATGGCGGACGAGGGAAGGCCTTGTGTGCTTACTTGTGGGTCAAGTAACAGTGGTCTAGGACTTTATCGCCCCCTAGTGGCAAGGGAGACGTGTTGATGGAAGTTGGGCATCACGTTTCTTAATGACGCAGAATTGAAATCGCCGGCAACCAAAAAAGCAGCCTCTGGATGTTTATAGCCTCGTACAGTTCGTTAAGGTTTCCTGCTTGTTTATAGCCTCGTACAGTTCGTTAAGGTTTCCTGCTTGTTCATAGCCTCGTACAGTTCGTTAAGGTTTCCTGCTTGTTTATAGCCTCGTACAGTTCGTTAAGGTTTCCTGCTTGTTTCTAGCCTCGTACAGTTCGTTAAGGTTTCCTGCTTGTTCATAGCCTCGTACAGTTCGTTAAGGTTTCCTGCTTGTTTATAGCCTCGTACAGTTCGTTAAGGTTTCCTGCTTGTTTATAGCCTCGTACAGTTCGTTAAGGTTTCCTGCTTGTTTATAGCCTCGTACAGTTCGTTAAGGTTTCCTGCTTGTTTATAGCCTCGTACAGTTCGTTAAGGTTTCCTGCTTGTTTATAGCCTCGTACAGTTCGTTAAGGTTTCCTGCTTGTTTATAGCCTCGTACAGTTCGTTAAGTTTTCCTGCTTGTTTATAGCCTCGTACAGTTCGTTAAGTGCCAGCTTGTTCTATTTATTGTCTTGTGGTGGAATGTATACAACAGTCACGATAACAGATGAAAACTCCCTCGGGAGGTAGAAGGGTCTGCATTTGACCATAATGTATTCTAAGACGGGTGAACAATGGGTCGAGACTTCCACCGCGCTCAAGTCAGCACACCAGTTGTTGTTGATGAAGAGACAGCCCCTCCCCCTCTTGATTTCCCTGAATCCAATGCCCTGTCCACTCGGTGAATGGAGAATCCATCGAGTTGGATAGCCATGGGGGGTATCTTGTCCGAGAGCCATATTTCAGAAAGCAAATAATATTTGCAGTTTACACATACAGTTCCAGCCAAATATATGGGCGCCCTTGCACTTTTCTTAAATAATTTCCTATTTCCTCTAAAATAATAATAAAAAACGTTAGAAAATCAAGGCAAATGGCATGGACCAAATTATAGACTCCCTGGTTGCACAGCCTTAGGCCAAGACAACTGCAGACTAATGCTTCTTGTTGCCATCAATGATCTCGCTGCACCTTTCTACTGGCAATTTTGCCCACTTTTCAGCAGCAAACTGTTCTAATTCTTCAATGTTTGAGGGTTGTCCTCCACCAACTGCTGTTTTCAGCTCTCACCATAGGTTATGGTTGGCGATTCCGATCTGGTGTCTTTGCTGGCCAGTGTTTCTTCGTGAACCATTCCAGGGTGCTTTATGATGTGGGTTTGGGGATGTTGTCTTGCTGGAAGAGACACAACCTTCAACAGAGACAGTTTTTGGACAATGGGTTGAACATTACACTCTTTTTAATTGAATGCTTCGTTTGGTCATTGTTGGACATACAGTGCCTTCGGAAAGTATTCAGACCCCTTGACTTTTTCCACATTTTGGTACGTTACAGCCTTATTCTAAAATGGATTAATTAAACAATTTTCCTTATCAATCTACGCACAATACCCCATAATGACAAAGCAAAAACAGTAAAAAAAAAAAAAAAAGTTTAGCTAATGCATATATAAAAAAAATATGTATTTACATAAGTATTCAGACCCTTTGCTATGAAACTCGAAATAGACCTCAGGTGCATCCTGTTTACATTGATCATCCTTGATGTTTCTACAATTTGATTGGAGTCCATCTGGGGTAAATTCAATTGATTGGACATGATTTGGAAAGGCACACACCTGTCTATATAAGGTCCCATAGTTGTCAGTGCATGTCAGAGCAAAAACCAAACCATGAGGTCGAAGGAATTGTACGTAGAGCTCCTAGACAGGATTGTGTTGAGGCAAAGATCTGGGGAAGGGTACCAAACAATTTCTGCCGCATTGAAGGTCCCCAAGAACAAAGTTTGGAACCACCAAGACTCTTCCTAGAGCTGGCCACCCGGCCAAACTGAGCAATCGGGGGAGAAGGGCCTTGGTCAGGGAAGTGGCCAAGAACCCGATGGTCACTCTGACAGAGGTCCAGAGTTCCTCTGTGGGGATGGGAGAACCTTCCAGAAGGACAACCATCTCTGCAGCAATCCACCAATCAGGCCTTTATGCTAGAGTGGCCAGACAGAAGCCAGTCCTCAGTAAAAGGCACATGACAGCCCGCTTGGAGTTTGCCAAAAGGAACCTAAAGGACTCTCAGACCATGAGAAACAAGATTCTCTGGTCTAATGAAACCAAGATTGAGCTCTTTGGCCTGAATGCCACGCGTCACGTCTGGAGGAAACCTGGCACCATCCCTACGGTGAAGCATGGTGGTTGCAGCATCATGCTGTGGGGATGTTTTTCAGCGGCAGGGACTGGGAGACTAGTCAAAATCGAGGGAAAGATGAACGGAGCAAAGTACAGAGATCCTTGATGAAAACCTGCTCCAGAGCGCTCAGGACCTCAGACTGGGGCGAAGGTTCACCTTCCAACAGGACAACTACCCTAAGCACACAGTCAAGACAACGCAGAAGTGGCTTCGGGACAAGACTTGAATCCGATCTAACATCTCTGGAGAGACCTGAAAATAGCTGTGCAGAGACGCTCCCCATCCAACCTGACAGAGCTTGAGAGTATCTGCAGAGAAGAATGGGAGAAACTCCCCAAATACAGGTGTGCCAATATTGTAGCGTCATACCCAAGAATACTCGAGGCTGTAATCGCTGCCAAAGGTGCTTCAACAAAGTACTGAGTAAAGGGTCTGAATACTTATGTAAATGTTATGTTTGTATTTTTTAATAAATTAGCAAAAAATGTCTAAACCTGTTTTTGCTTTGTCATTATGGGGTTTTGCGTGTAGATTGATGAGGGGAAAAAAACAATTTAATCAATTTTAGAATAAGACTGTAATGTAACAAAATGGAAAAAGTCAAGGATCTGAATACTTTCAGAATGCACTGTAAAAGACTGAAATAAAAACACCAGAAAATCAGCTCCAAGTGATTTTAGTTTTGGAACACCTTCCTAACATTGAGTTGCTACCCCCCGTTTTGCCCTCAGAACCGCCTCAATTCGTCAGGGCATAGACTCTACAAGGTGTCGAAAGCGCTCCACAGGGATGCTGGCCCATGTTGTGTCAAGTTGGCTGGATGTCCTTTGGATGGTGGACCATTTTTGATACACACGGGAAACTGTTGAGCGTGTGAAACCCAACAGCGTTGCAGTTCTTGACACAAACCGGTGCGCCTGGCACCTACTACCATACCCCGTTCAAAGGCACTTAAATATTTTGTCTTGCCCATTCACCCTCTGATTTGCACACATACACAATCTATTTCTGAAATGTCTCAAAGCACTAAAATCCTTTAACTATGTCTCCTCTCGAACATCTACATTGATTTGAAGTGGATTTCACAAGTGACAATCAATAAGGGATCATAGCTTTCACCTGGTCAGTCTATGTCATGGAAAGAGCAGGTGTTCTTAATGTTTTGTACATGTGTTTTGTACTCTGTATGTGATCGTATACAAATGTAAGCAAGGTTTAAAGTCATTGTTTTAGTGAAATGTTATATCCGTTTGGGCTTCTTGCGGTCAATTTAGTCAACACATTATTTGTAATTATGTTCCGGCCCCCTTAAGAAAATAATCAGCCCACAGCTGAATCTAGCCTTCATGGCCTCCCTTGTGTAGTGTTCCTAACCTTGACCCCTGTGTAGTGTTCCTAACCTTGACCCCTGTGTAGTGTTCCTAACCTTGACCCCTGTGTAGTGTTCCTAACCTTGACCCCTGTGTAGTGTTCCTAACCTTGACCCCTGTGTAGTGTTCCTAACCTTGACCCCTGTGTAGTGTGTTCCTAACCTTGACCCCTGTGTAGAGTGTTCCTAACCTTGACCCCTGTGTAGAGTGTTCCTAACCTTGACCCCTGTGTAGAGTGTTCCTAACCTTGACCCCTGTGTAGAGTGTTCCTAACCTTGACCCCTGTGTAGAGTGTACAACGTGAAGAGTGGCAAGATGAAGAAGTGTTTCAAAGGTTCTACAAGTGACGACGGAACACTGTTGAAGGTGAGCGGAGACATCGCTATTTAACTAATGGGACAAACCTATCTAATGTCATATTAGCTTTCTACTGTATGTCAACGTTTCTTATTCCATGGTTTGTTGTCATTTTGTGCAACTAGGTTCAGATGGACCCCGCTGGGATCTACCTAGCAACAAGCTGCTCTGATAAGAGCATCTGTATCTTTGACTATGAGTCAGGAGAGTGTGTGGCCACCTTGTTCGGTCACTCAGGTAGCTCTACTCTTCCTCACCTCTTTCCTCCTCTTCCTCCTCCCGTCTCTGGTGCCCTCTGACTCCTCCTCTTCCTCCTCCCGTCTCTGGTACCCTCTGACTCCTCCTTTTCCTCCTCCCGTCTCTGGTGCCCTCTGACTCCTCCTCTTCCTCCTCCCGTCTCTGGTGCCCTCTGACTCCTCCTCTTCCTCCTCCCGTCTCTGGTGCCCTCTGACCCTCTTCCTCCTCCCGTCTCTGGTGCCCTCTGACCCTCTGACTCCTCTTCTTCCTCCTCCCGTCTCTGGTGCCCTCTGACCCTCTGACTCCTCCTCTTCCTCCTCCCGTCTCTGGTGCCCTCTGACCCTCTGACTCCTCCTCTTCCTCCTCCCGTCTCTGGTGCCCTCTGACCCTCTGACTCCTCCTCTTCTCCGTAGAGATTGTAACTGGGATGAGGTTCAGCCAGGACTGCAGACACCTCATCACCGTATCTGGAGACAGGTAAACATGCTCCTTAGCCAAACTATTTTAGGCAGTGGGCAACAGGTGACCTTCCTTTTTTACAATGACAGAGTAAACACTGCCCTACCATATCCTTCTGAGGCTGTTTCCGGATACAGTTAGTTTCAGTTGTGTTCTGTGTTTGTCTGTCTCTAGCTGTGTGTTCCTGTGGAGGCTGGACTCCCAGATGACTAACTCTATGAGGAAGAGGCTGGCTGAGAGGAAACAGAACTACTGCCAGAGCCCCGACAAAGGAGCATGTTATCAGGTATCTACACTGAACTAAAATATAAACGCAACATGTACAGTGTTGGTTCCCATGATTCATGAGCTGAAATAAAAGATCCCAGAAATGTTCCCTACGCACAAAAAGCTTATTTCTCTCAAATGTGCACATTTGTTTACATCCCCTTTAGTGCACATTTCACCTTTGCCAAGATAATTCATCCACCTGACAGGTGTGGCATATCAAGAAGCTGATTAAACAGCATGATCATTACACAGGTGCACCTTGTGCTGTGGACAATAAAAGGCCACTCTAAAATGTGCAGTTTTGTCATACAACACAATGCCACAGATGTCTCAAGTTTTGAGGGAGTGTGCAATTGGCATGCTGACTGCAGGAATGTCCACCAGAGCTGTTACCAGATAATTGAATGTTCATTTCTTTACCATAAGCCACCTCCAACTTCGTTTTAGAGAATTTGGCAGTACGTCCTACCGGCCTCACAACCGCAGACCACATGTATGGCGTCGTGTGGGTCAGCAGTTTGCTGATGTCAACGTTGTGAACAGAGTGCCGCATGGTGGGGTTATGGTATGGGCAGGCATAAGCTACGGACAACGAACACAATTGCATTTTATCGATGGCAATTTGAATACACAGAGATACCGTTACGAGATCCTGAGGCCCATTGTTGTGCCATTCATCCGCCGCCATCACCTCGTTTCAGCATGATAATGCCCGGCCCCATGTCACAAGGATCTGTACACAATTCCTGGAAGCTATCCCAGTTCTTCCATGGGCTGCATACTCACCAGACGTCACCTAGTGAGCATGTTTGGGATGCTCTGGATCGACATGTACGACTGTGTGTTCCAGTTCCTGCCAATATCCAGCAACTTCACACAGCCATTGAAGAGGAGTGGGACAACATTCCACAGGCCACAATCAACAGCCTGATCAATTCTATTCGAAGGACTTATGTCGCGCTGCATGAGGCAAATGGTGGTCACACCAGATACTGACTGGTTTTCTGATCCACGCCCATACCTTTTTTTAAAGGTATCTGTGACCAACGGATGCATAATTCTATTCCCAGTCGTGAAATCCATAACTCAGTAAAATCTTTGAAATTGTTGCGTTTTTATATTTTTTGTCTGGGAATACAGATATGCATCTGTTGGTCACAGATACCTTACATTTTATTTTTTTTTTAAATAAAAGTAGGGGCGTGGTTCAGAAAACCGGTCAGTAACCAACATCGTGTTCGTGAGAGTCTCCCCTTTCCATAGAGTGGTCTTAATAGTTTTTAGGCCAAACCATTCGGACGCTACAGACGTTTTCGTGAGAAGACTGATTTTCAGGATGTCTCCATGGTCTGACGAACACCGCTGTAGCTCGGCCACTTTCCACTACCTATGTCGGCCTTCCGCATCTGGATTGAGACGCATAGAAACTGATATCACTAGCTTAAACTGACGGATTTTGATTATGTTATATTGACGCACAAAGGATTTTTAAGCCTTGAGACAACAATTGAGAAATGGATTGTGTATGTGTGCCATTTAGAGGGTGACTGGGCAAGACAACATTTGTCCCTTTTGAGCGGGGTATGGCAGTAGGTGCCAGGCGCACCAGGACCATTTCACATGGTCAGAAAAACCTGTACTTCGACAGCCCCTCAGTCTCTCCAATTCATTCCCTCTACCACAGCTATTACTTTAGACTAGAGCTGAGAACTAATGCTAATTTGTTCCATTTTATAACCTTGCCTGATTTTGAATCGGTCATTCTCAGTTCTAGTAAAGGCACGGCTCTATAGAAGTTATCTGGTGACAGACAGCCTGTCTGTGGGTGGGTGTGAGGTGTCTGTGGGTGGGTGTGAGGTGTCTGTGGGTGGGTGTGAGGTGTCTGTGGGTGGGTGTGAGGTGTCTGTGGTGGGTGTGAGGTGTCTGTGGGTGGGTGTGAGGTGTCTGTGGGTGGGTGTGAGGTGGGTGTGGTGGGTGTGGGTGTGAGGTGTCTGTGGGTGGGTGTGAGGTGGGTGTGGGTGGGTGGGTGTGAGGTGGGTGTGAGGTGGGTGTGGGTGGGTGGGTGTGAGGTGTCTGTGGGTGGGTGGGTGTGAGGTGTCTGTGGGTGGGTGGGTGTGAGGTGTCTGTGGGTGTGAGGTGTCTGTGGGTGGGTGGGTGTGAGGTGTCTGTGGGTGGGTGGGTGTGAGGTGTCTGTGGGTGGGTGAGTGAGGTGTGTGTCGGTCAGTGTGTGTGAAGTGTCTGTTTCTGTGTGTCCAGGAGAGAGACCTTCATCACTGTGCCGTTCGGCTGCCTCCCCCAGACAGAAGAGGAAGATGATCCCAGGACTCCAGCTAGATGTGACATCACTCATGGTAAGACCACTCATATTAACTTACAGAGATTACATAAGAGTGTGGAATTGAATCAGGAATGTGAATGAATTCAGAAATTCAATTTGCGAATAACAATGACTCTCCATGCCACAAGCTCAGAGAAGGGGAAACTGTTCGAATTTGCAACAGACTTTGGCTTAATCAATGTTTTAACAGTCTCTCCTCCAGACTTTGGCTTAATCAATGTTCTAACAGTCTCTCCTCCAGACGTTCTTGCTCTTGACCCCATGGTTCTACAGACCAACGGCAAACTGCCCATGTGGGCCAGGAAACTGGTGAGTCTGACGGGACCGTATAGTCTATATCAGGGCTGCCCAACTCCGGTCCTGCAGGGCCCAGACACTTCTGGTCTTCATCCTCTCCTTCAATTAACTACCAGTAGAAACAAAAACCAGAAATGTTTTGGCCCTCCATGTCCGGAATTGAATAGCCCTGATAGACCAATGTCTCCTGGGAATTGTCTTAATACTAGTCTGGATAAGATTAAGACATAGAATATAAACAGTGTTATAGAATTGAGCATCAGCTTCCCCAGCTAGTGCCTTCAAAGTATTCACACCCCTTGATCTTTTTCCACATTTTGTTGTTACAGCCTGAATTTAAAATGTATTACATTTCATCAACAAGAAAGTCACTGGCCTACACACAATACCCCGTAATGTCAAAGTGGAATTCTATTTTTCAAAATGTGTACACATTTTGAAAAAATGAAAAGCTTAAATGTCTTGAGTCAATAAGTATTCATCCCCTTTGTTGTGGCTAGACTAAATACGTTCAGGAGGAAAAATGTGCTTAACAAGTCACATAATAAGTTACATGGACTCACTCTGTGTGCAATAATAGTGTTTAACATGATTTTTGAATGACTACCTCATCTTTGTACCCCACACATACAATTATCTGTAAGGTTCCTCCGTCGAGCAGTGAATTTCAACCACAAAGACCAGGGAGGTTTTCCAATGCCTCGAAAGAAGGGCACCTATTGGTAGATGGGTAAAAAATAAAAAAAGCAGACATTGAATATCCCTTTGGGCATGATGATGTTATTAATTACACTTTGGATGGTGTCTCAATATACCCAGCCACTACAAAGATACAGGCGTCCTTCTTAACTCAGTTGCCGGAGAGGAAGGAAACCACTTAGGGATTTCACCATGAGGCCAATGGTGACTTTAAAACAGTTACAGAGTTTAATGATAGGAGAAAACTGAGGATGGATCAACAACATTGTAGTTACTCCACAATACTAGCCTAATTGACAGAGTAAAGCCTTTACTAAATAAACTGAAGTAAAACTGCAAAAAATGTGGCAAAGCAGTTCACTTTATGTCCTGAATACAAAGTGTTATGTTTGGGGCAAATCCAATACAACACATTGAGTACCACTTTCAATATTTTTAAGCATAGTGGTGGCTGCATCATGTTATGGGTATGCTTGTAATCGTTAAGGACTGTGGAGTTTTTCGGGATAAAAAAGAAACAGACTGGAGCTAAACACAGGAAAAATCCTAGAGGAAAACCTGGGTCAGTCTGCTTTCCAACAGACACTGGGAGATGAATTCAGCTTTCAGCAGGACAATAATCTAAAACACACGGCCAAATCTACACTGGAGTTGCTTACCAAGAAGAGAGTGAATGTTCCTGAGTGGCCGAGTTAGTTTTGACTTACACTGAACAAAAATATAAACGCAACATGTAAAGTGTTGGGCCCATGTTTCATCAGCTGAAATAAAAAATGCCAGAAATGTTCCATACGCAAAAAAGCTTTTTTCTCTAAAATTGTGCACAAATTTGTTTACATCCCTGTTAGTGAGCATTTATCCTTTGCCAATATAATCCATAAAACTGACAGGTGTGGCATATCAAGAAGCTGATTAAACAGCATGGTCACTACACAGGTGCACCTTGTGCTGGGAACAATAAAAGGCCACTCTAAAATGTGCAGTTTTGTCACACAACACAATGCCACAGGTGTCTCAAGTTTTGAGGGAGCATGCAATTGGCATGCTGACTGCAGGAATGTTCACCAGAGCTGTTGCCAGAGAATTGAATGGTAATTTCTCTACCATAAGCCGCCTCCAACGTCGTTTTAGAGAATTTGGCAGTACGTCCTACCGGCCTCACATCCGCAGACCATGTGTAACCACACCAGCCCAGGACCTCTACATCCGGCTTTGTGGGGAAAAACTCATTCTGATTGGTTGGGCCTGGCTTTACTGTATAAAGCTGCATGAAGATCTATGGCAAAACTTGAAAATGGTTGTCTAGCAACGATCAAAAACAAATTTGACAGAGCTTGAAGAATTTTGAAAAGAATAATGGGCAAATAATGTACAATCAAGGTGTGCAATGCTGTTAAGTCGTGTTCACATTGGCAGTTTGAACTGTCTCAAATCCTATTTATTTCCATATATAATCTTTTTTCTTTTTCCTGCAGTCTGAACAGCCAAAACGCACATGGAATCGGATATTTCAAGCCGCATTTCAAACCACCTTTGTAGGTGGTTTGAAGTCAGATATAAATCTGATTTCTGGCCATGTGACTTGTCTGAACGGTCAAATCTGATTTTATTTTCCCTCGTGGGTTTTAGACTTATTCAGCACATCTTGTTGCTTGCTAGCTACTCTGTTGACAGTTTGACAAGAACATGTGGTACGTTAGCTAACTAGCTTGTTAATCGTTTAGAAAGAAATGAGTGAATGTGTTAGAAAGCTAAACAGCCGGCTAGCTAGTTGACTGCTGTGGCTAGCCGAAAAGGAGTCCTTTTGAAAGTTGGATCATCTTATCCTTTGAGGCTTTAAAAGTGTTCTTACACTATATGATTTAGAACATTCAAAACTGGGAAACGTCACTACAGACCCTGGTTAAATTCCAGGCTGTATCACAATCCGGCCGTGATTGGGCGGCGCACAATTGGCCCAGCGTCGACCCGGGTTTAGCCGGTGTAGGCCGTCATTGTAAATAAGAATTTGTTCTTAACTGACTTGCCTAGTTAAATAAAGGTAAAATAAAAATAATAAAAAATAAAAACATGTATTGACTCAGGGGTTTGAATACCTATGCAACTTAGATTCCTGTATTTAATTTTCAATAAATGTGCCAGAATTTGTAAAAACATATTTTAACTTTTTCATTATGGAGTATTGTGTGTAGATGGGTGAGGTGAAAAAAATATATTTAATCCATTTAGAATTCAGGCTGTAACACAATGTGGAATAAGTAGAGGGGTATGAATACATTCTGAAGTACTGTATCTGTATGTTAAGTAGAGGGGTATGAATACGTTCTAATGGCACTAGCTGTATGTTCAGTAGAGAGGTATGAATACTTTTTATTTTTAATGTTTTATTTTTAATGTTATTTATTTTATTTATTTATTATTTTTTTATAATTATTTTGGGGGGATGGATCAGCTTAATATTGCAGATAGATTGTATCTTCTATCAATGTAATTGTCTGCATCACTTCCAATCCCCCATGTTTTTTTTATTTTAATTTTTTGTTTTTTTATATATATACTCCCCTTTATTACTTTTCAACCCCACTAGGTATGAATACTTTCTGAAGGACTGTAGCTGTATTTTAAGTGATGTGACTCAGTCTTGTGGTGGTTCCCTCACTCTAATGGTTAGATGTTGCCTCTATGGCTATGTTGCAATTGGAACCCTATCCCCTATGTAGTGCACTTTAACAGAGCCTTTTGTCATTTGAGATGGTCTCTCTGTTATGTCAGGGTCCTGCAGCAGGCACCGCCGAGCTCCAGCCAGCCCCCCTCCAGCCGCGCGGGCGCTGGGCAGAGCAGCTCAACCCCCTGGCCATCCGCGCTGTCCTGGAGACACACAGCCTGCAGCGCCCTCTCTCCCCCACCCCCCGGAGAGCAGAGGGACCAGGAGAGGAGGAGGAGGAGGAGGAAGATCCATACTTCCACCCTCAGAGCCTGGACAGCCTTCTGGGAGAGGAGGAGGAGGAAGAGGTGGTGATGGAGGAGGAGGAAGAGGTGGTGATGGAGGAGGAGGAAGAGGTGGTGATGGAGGAGGAGGAAGAGGTGGTGGAGGACGACGAAGACCAGGTCTGTTTAAAGAGATACTTTACGCACAAATCTTTTTTTTTTATCTCAGAAGTGGTATGTCGATGGTTCTATATTGTTGCCAATCAGTCCAGACAAACATTACATTTACATATTTGTTGTTGTTGTTGTTGTTGTTTAGGGTTCTGGGTCTCTTCAGAGGCCTGGGTTCCTGGCCCTACCGGACAGTGACGACATGTTTGGTCCAGGCCTCAGCTCTCCAGAGAGGAGTAGCTACATCCTCTACCCTGCCAACAGCACCACGCTGTCCACTGGAGGAAGAGAGGGGTGAGCGAGAGTGGATCGGTCTGCTTGGAAATCTATTTACTGTTCTCTCAAAATGAGTTTGATGTAGGGATGCTGTGTGTATGAGGTTGTGTTTATGTAGGGATGCTGTGTGTATGAGGTTGTGTTTATGTAGGGATGCTGTGTGTATGAGGTTGTGTTTATGTAGGGATGCTGTGTGTATGAGGTTGTGTTTATGTAGGGATGCTGTGTGTATGAGGTTGTTATAGGTTGTGTGATGATGCTGTGTGTATGAGGTTGTTATAGGTTGTGTGATGATGCTGTGTGTATGTGGTTGTGTTTATGTAGGGATGCTGTGTGTATGTGGTTGTGTTTATGTAGGGATGCTGTGTGTATGAGGTTGTGTTTATGTAGGGATGCTGTGTGTATGAGGTTGTGTTTATGTAGGGATGCTGTGTGTATGAGGTTGTGTTTATGTAGGGATGCTGTGGGTATGAGGTTGTGTTTATGTAGGGATGCTGTGTGTATGAGGTTGTGTTTATGTAGGGATGCTGTGTGTATGAGGTTGTGTTTATGTAGGGATGCTGTGTGTATGAGGTTGTGTTTATGTAGGGATGCTGTGTGTATGAGGTTGTTTATGTAGGATGCTGTGTGTATGGTTGTGTTTATGTAGGGATGCTGTGTGTATGAGGTTGTGTTTATGTAGGGATGCTGTGTGTATGAGGTTGTGTTTATGTAGGGATGCTGTGTGTATGAGGTTGTTATAGGTTGTGTGATGATGCTGTGTGTATGAGGTTGTTATAGGTTGTGTGATGATGCTGTGTGTATGAGGTTGTTATAGGTTGTGTGATGATGCTGTGTGTATGAGGTTGTTATAGGTTGTGTGATGATGCTGTGTGTATGTGGTTGTGTTTATGTAGGGATGTTGTGTTTATGTAGGGATGCTGTGTGTATGAGGTTGTGTTTATGTAGGGATGCTGTGTGTATGAGGTTGTGTTTATGTAGGGATGCTGTGTGTATGAGGTTTGTGTTTATGTAGGGATGCTGTGTTGTATGATGTTTGTGTTTATGTAGGGATGCTGTGTGTATGAGGTTGTGTTTATGTAGGGATGCTGTGTGTATGAGGTTGTGTTTATGTAGGGATGCTGTGTGTATGAGGTTGTGTTTATGTAGGGATGCTGTGTGTATGAGGTTGTGTTTATGTAGGGATGCTGTGGGTATGAGGTTGTGTTTATGTAGGGATGCTGTGTGTATGAGGTTGTGTTTATGTAGGGATGCTGTGGGTATGAGGTTGTGTTTATGTAGGGATGCTGTGTGTATGAGGTTGTGTTTATGTAGGGATGATGTGTGTATGAGGTTGTTATAGGTTGTGTGATGATGCTGTGTGATGATGCTGCTGTGTATATATCTGGTGGTCCTCTGTAGCTCACTTGGTAGAGCATGGTGCTTGCAACGCCAGGATAGTGGCTTCAACACCGATACCTTTAAAACATGTTTGCACGCATGCCTGGTGTGTGTGTGTGTGTGTGTGTGTGTGTGTGTGTGTGTGTGGATCTCCTCTGTGTGTGTGTGTGTGTGTGTGTGTGTGTGTGTGTGTGTGTGTGGGTCTCCTCTGTGTGTGTGTGTGCAGTGAGTTTGGCCAGCAGCACCAGCAGCAGCAGGGCTGGGGAGGAGAGGAGGAGCTGAGTCCAGACAGCGCCTGTTGTGTTGGTTCTGCAGAGAGCCAGGACCAACCCCAGGATGGTAGGTCTAGTATACGCAACTACTACTATAATACTAATACTACTACAATACTACTACAATACTACTACTGTAGCCATAGGATGGTAAGACTAGTCTACACTACTATAATACTATTACTACCACTACACGACTATAATACTACTACTACTCTATAATATTACTACTATAATACTACTACTGCTGCTAATATTACTACTTTAATACTAATACTGCTGCTAATACTACTACTACTACTACTCGACTACTCTAGCCATAGGATGGTAAAACTAGTATATGCTACTATAATACTAATACTACTGTACTACTACTCTATAATATTACTACTATAATACTACTATTATTCTACTACAATACTAATACTACTCTACTACTCTAGCCATAGGATGGTAAAACTAGTATTACTACTACTACTCTACTATCATGTACTCTACTACTATAATACTAGTATTACTACTACTACTCTGTTACTATAATTCTACTACTATAATACTACTATAGACTGAGTCCAGGGCCCTTCCATCACCATGGCCGTCTCCAATAATGTTTGTGTGTAAAAATAAATGTAAATAGTTTAAATGTGTTCTAAATAGTTTTTTGGGGGATGCGAAAATAGAACATTTTATTGGATGTGATTAAAGAAAAAGAAAAAAAAAAGTAGTGTGATTTTAAATGCCAGGATTTCATAATTATTTTGGCTTTTCATCTAGTAGAATTTGCTTTACACTATTGAGGAAGAGATTTGTTTTTCATGTCACATGTCCCACCTGAGTTTGACAACAGATGATAATCAGATATGGTGACATGCTGTACCAAAATGAACGAATGGCGGGAATCAATGGTATTGTGCATTAGATGACGTATTCTCAGTAGGAGGAGCCTAGTATGTTGATATTCTCAGTAGGAGGAGCCTAGTATGATGATATTCTCAGTAGGAGGAGCCTAGTATGTTGATATTTGTTGCTTACTGCATTCGATTTGACTAAATAGTACGTTCTAAAATAGTATGCAGTATGATTAGTACACAGTTTTAGTAAGTAGTAGGCAAGATAGGCTGTGTCCGAAATCTATGTCAAATAGTGTTGTTGTTGATCCTGACTCCTCTCCTCTCCCTGCAGATACAGACTCCCTGACTCCTCTCCTCCCCCTTGCCAGATACAGACTCCCTGACTCCTCTCCTTGCCGATACAGACTCCCTGACTCCCTCTCCTGCCAATACAGACTCCCTGACTCCTCTCCTTGCCGATAACAGACTCCCTGACTCCTCCTCTCGCCGATACAGACCCCTGACTCCTCTCCTCCCCCTGCAGATACAGACTCCCTGACTCCTCTCCTTGCCAATACAGACTCCCTGACTCCTCTCCTCTCCTTGCCAATACAGACTCCCTGACTCCTCTCCTCGCCGATACAGACTCCCTGACTCCTCTCCTCCATCCTCCCTGTCTCTCTGCATACAGACTCCCTGACTCCTCTCCTCTGCCGAATACAGACTCCCTGACTCCTCTCCTTGCCAATACAGACTCCCTGACTCCTCTCCTCGCCGATACAGACTCCCTGACTCCTCTCCTCCCCCTGCAGATACAGACTCCCTGACTCCTCTCCTCCCCCTGCAGATACAGACTCCCTGACTCCTCTCCTTGCCAATACAGACTCCCTGACTCCTCTCCTCCCCTGCCGATACAGACTCCCTGACCCCTCCTCCATCTCCTTCCTCCTTGCCAGATACAGACTCCCTGACTCCTCTCCTCCTCCTGCCCCTTTCCGATACAGACTCCCTGACTCCTCTCCTCACCTCGCCGATACAGACTCCCTGACTCCTCTCCTTGCCGATACAGACTCCCTGACTCCTCTCCTTGCCGATACAGACTCCCTGACTCCTCTCCTTGCCGATACAGACTCCCTGACTCCTCTCCTTGCCGATACAGACTCCCTGACTCCTCTCCTTGCCGATACAGACTCCCTGACTCCTCTCCTTGCCGATACAGACTCCCTGACTCCTCTCCTTGCCGATACAGACTCCCTGACTCCTCTCCTTGCCGATACAGACTCCCTGACTCCTCTCCTCGCCGATACAGACTCCCTGACTCCTCTCCTCGCCGTTACAGACTCCCTGACTCCTCTCCTCTTGTCTCCCCCTGCAGATACAGACTCCCTGAGCCAGGTGAGTTCTACAGGTAGCTCTGGAGTGGAGGAAGAGGAGGAAGATCCACAGACACTCCTTAGACAACACTTTGACACCATGGCCAACCACCTGAGCAACGAGGGTACGGATGATAATGTGGTAGTGTGCCGCTAGCCTCTTGTCAGGGTAGTGGAGTTGAGCTATTTTCTCACAGAAAGGTGCACAACTGCTCCAGCGCTCCACCTCCTTTTTCCGACAGCTCTGCTAAAAACCGCTCCTCGCTCACAAAAAAAAAAAAAAGAAGTAGTATGATTTAAATGCCAGGATGTCATAGTCATAGCTCAATTGGTAGAGCATGGCGCTTGTTACGCCAGGGTAGTGGGTTCGATCCCCGGGACCACCCATACGTAAAAATGTATGCACACATGACTGTAAGTGGCTTTGGATAAAAGCGTCTGCTAAATGACATATTATATTACCATCATGCTTTCGGGATACGTGTCTTTTCAGATTCCACAATGATTATTTAGTTGTGGACACTACATCACCTACATCCCTCTTGCTCTTGGTCCTCATCTTTGGAAGTCACCTTGAGCTAAATTGGAGCGGGTGAGAAGGCCGACGCTCCAGCCTTTGGGAAACTCTCTCCGCGCTGCAGTCAAATTGGACACGCTCCGCTCCAGCTCCGCTCACATACTCTGGTCTGGGTCAAACCCTAACCAGTCCATGGACCAGACTGGTCTGGGTCTAACCCTAACCAGTCCATGGACCAGACTGGTCTGGGTCTAACCCTAACCAGTCCATGGACCAGACTGGTCTGGGTCTAACCCTAACCAGTCCATGGACCAGACTGGTCTGGGTCTAACCCTAACCAGTCCATGGACCAGACTGGTCTGGGTCTAACCCTAACCAGTCCATGGACCAGACTGGTCTGGGTCTAACCCTAACCAGTCCATGGACCAGACTGGTCTGGGTCTAACCCTAACCAGTCCATGGACCAGACTGGTCTGGGTCTAACCCTAACCAGTCCATGGACCAGACTGGTCTGGGTCTAACCCTAACCAGTCCATGGACCAGACTGGTCTGGGTCTAACCCTAACCAGTACACGGACCAGACTGGTCTGGGTCTAACCCTAACCAGTCCATGGACCAGACTGGTCTGGGTCTAACCCTAACCAGTCCATGGACCAGACTGGTCTGGGTCTAACCCTAACCAGTCCATGGACCAGCCAGATGGACAGATGTGGTTGAGTCTAGGCTAGTGTCTCATTACCCATTTAAAAAGAACAGTTTGGATGTATTGTTTATTTTTATTTAACCTTTATTAACTAGGCAAGTCAGTTAAGAACAAATTCTTATTTACAATGACGGCCTGCACCGGCCAAACCCGGGCCGACGCTGGGCCAATTGTGCGTCGCCCTATGGGACTCCCAATCACGGCCGGTTGTGATACAGCCTGGAATCGAACCAGGGGGTCTGTAGTGACGCCTCAAGCACTGAGCTGCAGTGCCTTAGAACGCTGCGCCACTCGGGAGCCCATTGTAAGTACAGTTTGTAGCTAGCTATAACTGATATACACTGCTCAAAAAAATAAAGGGAACACTTAAACAACACAATGTAACTCCAAGTCAATCACACTTCTGTGAAATCAAACTGTCCACTTAGGAAGCAACACTGATTGACATTACATTTCACATGCTGTTGTGCAAATGGAATAGACAACAGGTGGAAATTATAGGCAATTAGCAAGACACCCCCAATAAAGAAGTGGTTCTGCAGGTGGTGACCACAAACCACTTCTCAGTTCCTATGCTTCCTGGCTGATGTTTTGGTCACTTTTGAATGCTGGCGGTGCTTTCACTCTAGTGGTAGCATGAGACGGAGTCTACAACCCACACAAGTGGCTCAGGTAGTGCAGCTCATCCAGGATGGCACATCAATGCGAGCTGTGGCAAGAAGGTTTGCTGTGTCTGTCAGCGTAGTGTCCAGAGCATGGAGGCGCTACCAGGAGACAGGCCAGTACATCAGGAGACGTGGAGGAGGCCGTAGGAGGGCAACAACCCAGCAGCAGGACCGCTACCTCCGCCTTTGTGCAAGGAGGAGCAGGAGGAGCACTGCCAGAGCCCTGTAAAATGACCTCCAGCAGGCCACAAATGTGCATGTGTCTGCTCAAACGGTCAGAAACAGACTCCATGAGGGTGGTATGAGGGCCCGACGTCCACAGGTGGGGGTTGTGCTTACAGCCCAACACCGTGCAGGACGTTTGGCATTTGCCAGAGAACACCAAGATTGGCAAATTCGCCACATCTTCACAGATGAAAGCAGGTTCACACTGAGCACATGTGACAGACGTGACAGAGTCTGGAGACGCCGTGGAGAACGTTCTGCTGCCTGCAACATCCTCCAGCATGACCGGTTTGGCGGTGGGTCAGTCATGGTGTGGGGTGGCATTTCTTTGGGGGGCCGCACAGCCCTCCATGTGCTCGCCAGAGGTAGCCTGACTGCCATTAGGTACCGAGATGAGATCCTCAGACCCCTTGTGAGACCATATGCTGGTGCGGTTGGCCCTGGGTTCCTCCTAATGCAAGACAATGCTAGACCTCATGTGGCTGGAGTGTGTCAGCAGTTCCTGCAAGAGGAAGGCATTGATGCTATGGACTGGCCCGCCCGTTCCCCAGACCTGAATCCAATTGAGCACATCTGGGACATCATGTCTCGCTCCATCCACCAACGCCACGTTGCACCACAGACTGTCCAGGAGTTGGCGGATGCTTTAGTCCAGGTCTGGGAGGAGATCCCTCAGGAGACCATCCGCCACCTCATCAGGAGCATGCCCAGGCATTGTAGGGAGGTCATACAGGCACGTGGAGGCCACACACACTACTGAGCCTAATTTTGACTTGTTTTAAGGACATTACATCAAAGTTGGATCAGCCTGTAGTGTGGTTTTCCACTTAAATTTTGAGGGTGACTCCAAATCCAGACCTCCATGGGTTGATAAATTTGATTTCCATTGATAATTTTTGTGTGATTTTTTTGTCAGCACATTCAACTATGTAAAGAAAAAAGTATTTAATAAGATTATTTCATTCATTCAGATCTAGGATGTGTTGTTTAAGTGTTCCCTTTATTTTTTTGAGCAGTGTGTATTCTGCCCCTGTAGAGAAGTTTGAGACCGACCTATCCAGTCTGCAGCCTCCACCCCTAGAGACAGAGAGCCTCTTCCTCAACCCCAGGTTCAGCATCTCGACACGCTTCCTGTCTCGTTTCCAGAGCCGCCTCCGGTCAGTAACACCTCACCTTACCTTATGCCGCGTTCAAAACAACTGGGAACTCGGGAATCTCCGACGTCAGTGCGTTCAAGACAACTGGGAACTGTAATCCAACTCGGAATTCCAAGTCGGAAACTCTGGCATCTTTCTAGAGCTCAGACTTTCCGAGCTGAAGAGCGCTGACGTCATGATTTGAGTTAGTTTTTTTTCCCAGAGTTCCCAGTTGTCTTGAAAGCACCATTACCTCAGTCACACCTTACCTCACCTCAGTAACACCTAACCATACCTTACCATACCTCAATAACACCTCACCATATCAGTCACACCTGCCCCCTGTATGGATGCAGTGTGTAGTTAGTATTGATGCAGTGTGTAGTTAGTATTGATGCAGTGTGTAGTTAGTATTGATGCAGTGTAGTTAGTATTGATGCAGTTAGTATTGATGGCAGTGTGTAGTTAGTATTGATGCAGTGTGTAGTTAGTATTGATGCAGTGTGTAGTTAGTATTGATGCAGTGTGTAGTTAGTATTGATGCAGTGTGTAGTTTAGTATTGATGCAGTGTGTAGTTTAGTATTGATGCAGTGTGTAGTTTAGTATTGATGCAGTGTGTAGTTAGTATTGATGCAGTGTGTAGTTAGTATTGATGCAGTGTGTAGTTAGTATTGATGCAGTGTGTAGTTAGTATTGATGCAGTGTGTAGTTAGTATTGATGCAGTGTGTAGTTTAGTATTGATGCAGTGTGTAGTTTAGTATTGATGCAGTGTGTAGTTAGTATTGATGCAGTGTGTAGTTAGTATTGATGCAGTGTGTAGTTAGTATTGATGCAGTGTGTAGTTAGTATTGATGCAGTGTGTAGTTAGTATTGATGCAGTGTGTAGTTAGTATTGATGCAGTGTGTAGTTTAGTATTGATGCAGTGTGTAGTTAGTATTGATGCAGTGTGTAGTTTAGTATTGATGCAGTGTGTAGTTTAGTATTGATGCAGTGTGTAGTTAGTATTGATGCAGTGTGTAGTTTAGTATTGATGCAGTGTGTAGTTAGTATTGATGCAGTGTGTAGTTAGTATTGATGCAGTGTGTAGTTAGTATTGATGCAGTGTGTAGTTTAGTATTGATGCAGTGTGTAGTTAGTATTGATGCAGTGTGTAGTTAGTATTGATGCAGTGTGTAGTTTAGTATTGATGCAGTGTGTAGTTTAGTATTGATGCAGTGTGTAGTTTAGTATTGATGCAGTGTGTGGTTTAGTATTGATGCAGTGTGTGGTTTAGTATTGATGCAGTGTGTGGTTTAGTATTGATGCAGTGTGTAGTTTAGTATTGATGCAGTGTGTAGTTTAGTATGATGCAGTGTGTAGTTATTGAGCAGTGTGTAGTTTAGTAGGTGTGTAGTAGTTGATGCAGTGTGTAGTTAGTATTGATGCAGTGTGTAGTTAGTATTGATGCAGTGTGTAGTTAGTATTGATGCAGTGTGTAGTTAGTATTCACATACATCGCGGATGATGTGTCCAGGAGCATCAATAGATGTATTCATTCAATCATGCAGTGTGTAGTTGTTTAGTTTTTAACCCTGTCCCGTTTCGTGTCTGTGTGGCACGTTAGTGGTCCTGGTGCCGCCCTGCGACCCGCTCCTCTCCCGCCCAGCATCACTGAGGAGCCCAGCAGCCTCTCCTCTCCTGACTCGACCCCGGCCCCCAGCCTCAACACCACTCAGGTATTGGCCTGTTCCTCACTTATCTTGTTCGCAGACACTTCCGCCCAAATGTGCGGAAGGTCTGGTAGAATTGCGACGTTAATATTGGCCTTCGTTAGGATACAGAGTGGCGGGAGATTTCTCCCGGGTCATTACTCATTGGTTTAAAGGCCCAGTGCGGTCAAAAACGTAATTTTCCTGTGTTTTATATATATATTTCCACGCTGAGGTTGGAATAATACTGTGAAATTGTGAAAATTATGATAAATAGCCTTTTAGTGTAAGAGCAGTTTGAAAAGACCGCCTGAAATTTCTGCCTGTTTTGGTGGGATGGAGTTTTGGCCTGTCTGGTGACATCACTAGGCGGTTAATTAGTTTATAGACCAATAAGAGATCCAAACCTCTGCTAATAACAGCTCGTTTTCAGTTTTCCTCAGACCACTCCCAGACAGTCCTAGAAAAATTCTTGCTTCAGGAGTTGCTATTTGCTAAGAAGCTATTTTTGTTTCTTTTTGACCATTTTAATTGAAAACAATCTTAGTAAGATACTTAATTGTTACCCAGAAATTATGACATTGAGATAAAAAAAAAAAAAACTACTGTTACATTGGACCTGTAATCGGCTTAATCTACCAACCAATCATTTCCCACAACACCTTCCCCCACGTGTCTTGTGCCTGTCGTATCGGTCCGACGTCTTGGTTGTCGTATCGGCCCGACGTCTTGGTTGTCGTATCGGCCCGACGTCTTGGTTGTCGTATCGGCCCGACGTCTTGGTTGTCGTATCGGCCCGACGTCTTGGTTGTCGTATCGGCCCGACGTCTTGGTTGTCGTATCGGCCCGACGTCTTGGTTGTCGTATCGGCCCGACGTCTTGGTTGTCGTATCGGCCCGACCTCTTGGTTGTCGTATCGGCCCGACCTCTTGGTTGTCGTATCGGCCCGACCTCTTGGTTGTCGTATCGGTCCGACGTCTTGGCTTTAAACTCTTATTGGGATAGTTTTCTCCACAAGCGCGACACACGTCGACCTCAGATTTTAGGGGTGTACATTTTACATTTACATTTACGTCATTTAGCAGACGCTCTTATCCAGAGCGACTTACAGTTAGTAAGTGCATACATTTTTCATACTGGCCCCCCGTGGGAAACGAACCCACAACCCTGGCGTTGCAAGCGCCATGCTCTACCAACTGAGCTACAGGGGACCTGTAGTCTTTGTTCTTCTCGTGAAGCCACTCAGTAGCTACAGTTGAAGTCGGACGTTTACATCCACCTTAGGTTGGAGTCATTAATACTCGTTTTTCAAACACTCCACACATTTCTTGTTAACAAACTATATTATTATTATTATTATTCTGACATTTCACATTCTTAAAATAAAGTGGTGATCCTAACTGACCTAAGACAGGGAATCTTTACTAGGATTAAGTGTAAGGAATTGTGAAAAACTGAGTTTAAATGTATTTGGCTAAGGTGTATGTAAACTTCTGACTTCAACTGTAGCTATGTCCTTTGCTAGTTGGAAGGTATGAAATATTTTGTTCTTCTCCCTTTTGAGGTTAGGGAGAATGTTTTTGCTAGCTTACCAAGTTCCTACCAAAGTCCTGCCTCCATTTGGAGCCACGCCTCACAGTCGAATGATTCGCTAAAATGTAATAATGACAAATACTTTACTCAGTAATGTCATCCCCAAATAATTCTATGGTCACTCCCACTAAGGCCAGCTTTGAATGGTTGATTTACCAGGCTTATATCCGCTGTGCGAGGTTAGTTCGTCACCAACACGCAGAACACAAGATACAAACCGGGGGCCAAGATATATGGGGCCAGATCCTAACCTGAGATGCATGCAAATCATATTTTGGTGTAAATCTTCCATAAGATTTCATGAAAGTCAGACATGTGGATCACTGAAGATGTTTTTGCTATCTACAGGCCAACTCAAAGCAGTTCCTTGTGAGCAGTGCTACAGAATGTCTTCAAGAGGAGAGCCAGACCTCCGGTGAGTACTAATCTAGAGGTAGACTGATGTGGTAAGATTTTAATTTACTGGACATTTTAGAACTTTACCGGACATGTTAACGGATTAGGTGCTCAAAATCACATTCCGATTATTGTACTTAATCTTAACAGAATAGAAATTAGCCTGTGAAGTTATGGTCCTCTGTAGCTCAATTGGTAGAGCACGGCGCTTGTAACGCCAGGGTAGTGGGTTCGATCACCGGGACCACCCATACGTAAAAATTTATGCACACATGACTAAAGTCGCTTTGGATAAAAGCGTCTGCTAAATGGCATATCATTATTTTTTTATAAAAAAAATTTATAAAGTAGAACGATGTTCTCATACCAACATGACGGGTTTTATTGAAAAGCGAAACGTCGCCCGCTGCTTCTTCACCCCTGCTATAAATCATAAATGAATATCATTTTAAAGAAATAACTACCAAATATAATATTCGTATAATGTAATTTGCGAACGACCTGGCCTAAAGGCTATTTGTTATTTAAATAATAAATAACAACACAGCTGTTTTCAAAAACAATCTAGGACTTTCTAATTTAATTTAGCCTAGGCTGAATTAGCCCTAATAAATAACACAACATGGTTGTCTAGGAAACACCAGGGCCGGCCGGTCAAGGCTAGAAGGGATCCAGCTTTTGTCAAATTAACGTCAGATTTGACTTTTCGTAGCAGGTTAGGAGAATTAACGTAGCAGGTTAGGAGAATTAACGTAGCAGGTTAGGAGAATTAACGTAGCAGGTTAGGAGAATTAACGTAGCAGGTTAGGAGAATTAATGTAGCAGGTTAGGAGAATTAGGTTAAAGTTAGGAAAAGGGTTAGGGTTGGCTAAAATGCAGAAAATATCAACTTTTGACGTTAATTTGATAAAAGCTGTGGCTTGGCCGGCCCCCCCCACTCCCCATTTCCGCTGTGAGTCAGCACCACAGCAGTGGGAAAGGGGGACACTCACTAGGCAGCCACAAAATGAAGAAATTATCAAATTGATGTTGGACAATCAAATTCGATATGTAAATAAGGGAAATTCATAAAACATAAGCTCTTTCTCAATTAACCAGCCTGTGAAATAAGGCCTGAGCCAATGCATTTATGAAAGCACTCGTTTCCAAAGCTCAAATGATATCTCTCTTAACATTTATTAACATCCAGTAGAACTGTAATGGTTATTGTAATTTGAACTGTCGTGACTCGTGTCGTGTGATGTAAGTGGCTTATTGATAACAACACTGTTTCCTACTATAGACAGTTGGCTGTCTAATGATTACAACATTGTAACTCTATCCGATGTAATAAGTTGACAACAATGTTTCGTTTACAAGTGCTACTGTATAAGCTCAACTGAAATGCACCAATTGCTCATGATACACATCATTACTCTATCAATCCATTCCAAATCGTTATACTATACGTGACACAGGGGCAGCATATGTTGATCTTGCCTAGGGAGGCAGCAGAACTGCTGGGACCGGGTCTGACCAACACAATCATTTACTTGTGTTGGCGGCGGCAGACCTTGGCCTGCTCAAAGTGAGCCGCTGCTGTTGGGAAGTCAAAACTGTCCAACTCCTTGGAGCCGCTTGATGCACATCAGCCCCATTACTTTGTCCTCAAGAAGGAGCGTTTGGGAGGACGTCTTTACTCTGTTTTGGAGAACGAATCTCCTCTCGAATGGCACACTGGAAACTGGGATAGTCACCATTATTTTACAATGGATTTTCTTTTTCTTCAGGACAATTTGGCGGCAATCATTTTATAGGCTTTTCATTTTTTGAAATGGCCAAAAGCCAGCATTTACCTACCGGCTAACAGAAACCCTGGTGTGGTGTATGCTGTAGTGAGTGTGGTATGAACCTGTTATCTCTCGATCTGCTGGTTGCTAAAATAATCCAGTCAGAGTGGTGAAGTGCCATCCAGCGGGGCTAAAGAGGTCTGCTTAATGATGTGGGCTTGTCTGTCTGTCTGTCTGTTTTGCGGATTGATGGTCGGTCTGTCTGTCTGTCTGTTTTGCTGATTGATGGTCTGTCTGTCTGTCTGGTGGCTGGTTGACGGTTGCTGTAACAATCCAGTGAGGGGTGTGAAGTGTCATCCAGCATCTTTAAAGCGGCGCTCCTCTTCGGTCCAGCAGACTCCCCAACCCCGCCCCCCCCTACGCAGCCGCAAAACCATAGCTGTACTACACTGGAGAGATACTCTGGGAGGTGTGTGTGTGGTCGATCCACCACAGCATTGATTACTGTGACTCACCTTGTGTCATGGGGAAGCTAGACTCTGTTCTCTGTATCTTTTGTCTCCATCTCTCACTGGGTTCCACCGTCTGGGTTCCACCGTCTGGGTTCCACCGTCTGGGTTCCTCTGGTGATGGCAGCCTGGTCTGATTATAGACCACACGGGGTGATAATCTGGCTTCTAGAATGCACTGTGGTACTTTATGCTACAGTATACCAGCGTTTCTCAATCCTGGTCCTGGGAACCCAAAGATGTCCACTCCTGGACCAGGATTGAGAAACAGTGCCGTAAACAACCCTTAGTGTTATTGACCTGTAGTCTTTATGTTCCAACCCTCAGTGTTATTGACCTGTAGTCTTTATGTTCCAACCCTCAGTGTTATTGACCTGTAGTCTTTATGTTCCAACCCTCAGTGTTATTGACCTGTAGTCTTTATGTTCCAACCCTCAGTGTCATTGACCTGTAGTCTTTATGTTCCAACCCTCAGTGTCATTGACCTGTAGTCTTTATGTTCCAACCCGTCAGATGTGACAGATAAGACCCTGAGGTCTCAGTCTAGTGGTCCACCATCATCATTCAGCTCCACCCTCAAACCCTCCCAGCCCGGGTTGGACAAGGAGCCCCTGACCCGGCCTCCTCGCCAGAGCTACATGGGAACCACCACCAGCTCCAGAGCCAAGAGGTCCCAGGGTGAGGGCCTGAACATCTCCCCGACTGAGGAGCACCCTGCTGGAGGGAAGATCGTGGAGGCGAGAGCCTCATCCCTCCAGGACCTCCAGAACATTACAGACCCGGAGTGCAAGGATAATCTACCACCCTCTGCCCAGCCCCCTGTATCCCACACCACCACCACCACTTCCTCAGTGGAGCCTCCTGCTCCTGCCAGCCAGCCTCCCTCCGTCCCTCCTTCTCCTGCGGGGAACCACAGAGCCAGAGCAGCTCTCCACCTGGACCTGGCTGTGCCCTCTGACCCCCCCACCCTAACCCTCCCCTTCCCTCTGGCCTCCCACAAGTCCCAGAGGGGGATCGGAGACTCAACTCGCCCGGCACGCCACGCCCTGGTCACCCCCACTGAGATGCGTTCTTTGGGGAAGGAGGCGAAGAGGTACCTCCGTAACATGGAGGACAGCCTGGGGCCACGGGGAGGATCCTCAGGGCCCCGCAGCAGCCTGGCACCGGCCCCCACCCCCGCCATGGCCCCGGCCCCCACCCCCGCCATGGCCCCGGCCCCCACCCCCGCCATGGCCCCGGCCCCCACCCCCGCCATGGCCCCGGCCCCCACCCCCGCCATGGCCCCGGCCCCCACCCCCGCCATGGCCCCGGCCCCCACCCCCGCCATGGCCCTGGCCCCCGCCATGGCCCCGGCCCCCGCCATGGCCCCGGCCCCCACCCCCGCCATGGCCCCGGCCCCCCGTCTGAGCCCAACCCTCCCTCAGGCCCAGCTCACTGAGAGCCCCTCCCATCTGCCCCTGCAGCAGCAGGCTAGCGACAGTCCTGGTTCTGCCTGTTCTTTCCCTCTCCATGGTGACTCTGGTCTCCATGGTGACTCTGGTCTCCATGGTGACTCATTAGAGGAAACGCTGAACCTTCAGATGTGTCACCAGGTGGCCAACGAGTTGAGGCACACCATGAGAAGGGCCATCACATTCTACAACAAGGTCAGATTACAAACTAATGAAAACAATATTCACTAGCTTTTCAAAGATGCATGTGTTATCAACTTCAACCAGCCTGTCAAACGTTTCAACTAAGCCTTTATCCTTTAAAGGGATACTGCTGATGTAGAGAGTTGAGTGGTTTATCTACTTAGCCAGAGAGTCAGAACTCATGGATACTAGTTGTCACTGCGTCCAGTTTGGAGATTATTGAAGTTAGCATGTCGTTAGCTTAGCGCAAATGCTTTTAGTCTCCCGGTACAGTAGCCAGCTCCTCTCAAAAGCAGGGGAATAAACTTTCTAACTACTCCAATGATGGGTGGTTGGTCATTTATAGTCTTACAAAGCAATGCATAGTAATCGATATTTTATACATTTGTTAATTTCACTGATAATCATAAAATACCAGATTAAATTCACTTCTCATTCTTTCCCCGTTCCGTTGTCGCGTAGAGATGTAGAGGGATCGCAACATTATATCTGTCCCATTATGGCGTCTGAGCGCACGGACACCGCCACCGAGACCGATACAACGTTGTCTCTCTGTCTCTGTTCTCTCACAGGTCCGCTGCATTACAGACGGCCCAGAGCAGCAGGGCCAGATGTCGGCCATTTTAAAAGAGGCCTTCTGTGTTGCGCAGACGGAGCTGGACTCTCTGGTTCCTTCAGGTCCGAGGTCAGCAGCAGGTCACAGCGCCCCCTGTCCCCCGGAGGACTCTCCAGGTCGCCAGCTGAGAGATGACCGGACCGTGGCTCTATTGGAGAAATACTCTGAGATGCTGCTGTGCATCGCTGAGAAGAAGATGGACAGCAGCTAGCTGATGGGTTTGCCTAGATGGGAATGCCCCGCTGCAGGTTAGGAGAACTAACGTAGCAAATTAGAATTAGGTTAAGATTAGGAAAGGGATTAGGGTTAGCTAAAATGCAAAGATTATCCCTGATGTAACTCGAATATGCAAGTTTTAACATATTCTAGACATGACCCTAGCTGATGGAGGATGAGACAAGACGTCCTTACGGGAAGCAAATATCAACCATATGAGAACAATTGGATGCTTTCCCTTTTCCACCAGGCTGTTTCAATAGCATCCTGGCCTTTTTAATCAACAGCACCTTTAAACCTGACCGGAAGACTGTCTGTGTATATTACAATGTTTATTTAGATTTGTTTTAAGCCATACCTTTAGTGAATGTTTTAGCACGGCATTAGAGACTGACTGAAATAAATCAGTGGTAAATACATGCTTCACCATCTAGTTTAAAGTCTCCAACTTGTTTAAAATCTTTATTTTTAGCTTTGTCTTATGATCCTATTTATCTTTATGGATGTTTTATTTCTTTTGCTTATTACTTAATTTAAGCTCTTGTTTTGTCTTCTTTGTGTGATAGCCGTTTGTCTGTCCGTTTTCGTGTGATCGCCGTTGTCATTCTTGGGTTATTTAGCGCTCAGTGGTGGTCTGCTTGAAGTTACCCCAGGGCCCGTATCCACAAAGCATCTTGTTGTTTTTTTCTGAATACGATTACATGGGCAGATCCCCGATCAGCGCTCCTTTGGAGATGCTTTGTGGCTATGAGCCCTGGTCCATATCCCATTCTGTATCTAGCCTTGTAGCCATTGACACTTTATTTCAAACATGATCTATTGAGCATCAAAGCAGTCCAATGAGGAGTCATTCAGCCACAACCAAAGTGACCCGCTTTAAATCAGTGTTTACATTTTTTTTTTAAACTCTTATTAATTACGGTGTAACATTTTATTTGGACCCTGTCCAGGTATTTGTGTACCGGTATGTTTGCTATTTCATACTGAGGAGTTCTCTATCTAGTAGTCAAGTTTTAAGTTCAGTATTAAAGTTTTGTTTTAAGCTCGGTGTCTGATTGATTCCTATTGAGGTTAGAGCCAACATACACTAGTGTTAAGGGCTGTATTATGCTATGGCCTATTTCTCAAAAATAGCATATTATGGAATCAGATGGGTATACTAGTGTCACCGTCACCTGCAGTGTTTGCACAGTCCCTGTGGTGTTTCACTGTGTACTTCATGGTTTGTTGTGAAATTTGTTAAATTTCAATGTAAATATTTGTAATATTTTACCCTTCTGCTGTTGCATTCATACGAAATGTCTATTTTACTAAGAATTTGTAATAAACGTGTTTTACATATTGCTTTGCGTGTTCTCCATACGACAACCATACTAGCTTTAACCAGGAACAGTTGAAGGTCTGGAAGAGGTCTGTGGAGAACTTCTACTGAGCCAGAACTTAAAGCAGCAGGGATCATCCTTGAAGGAAGTAGAGAGAACCACCCAACACCGGACCTGCTGGAGGAAGTCTGGGGGGGGAGATCTCCTTTGAAATGTAGTACAGTAGGCCAATTGCTCATTGTCTTGATTCAGTCGTGCAATTTCTGCTGACCCATATGTATAAATTATTTTAATTGGAGTTAGCCTAGTGCCGCGTTGACGTGCTAATCGGAACCAGGAAACTTCGAATTTGCCGGCTTGCTAACTGGTGGAACGCAGCATGTGAATAACTACAACCAGTTAGCAGGTCGGAAATGCCCGAGTTTCCTATTTCCGACTAGAACGTGAACGCGGCATATATACTGGGGAGTTTGACAGTGTTCACATTCACACATATTTTAATATGCATTGTACTTCAGCACGGGCGTGTCCTGCCCTAACACGTTTTCAATGACGACGATGACGAGTCCAGTCGGACTCAGGAAAATAATGGTCAATTGCATCTGATTGGCTAGGAAAGTTGTTGTTCGCTGGACCGCCTGTCACTTCCATGTTGACAGCCTTGCAGCCTCGGTAGAGATTTAATTGAAATTGAAAATGTAATGTTTCTCTGATATACAGTAGACTAAACTATTTGGCAATGACGTTTAGTAACAGACTAACTAGCTGTAGGACTAGTAGTATATCATGGCGGCGCTAGGAGTGGAATGTAGCGAGGCGTCTAAAGTCGAACGGAAGATCAACACCCAGAAGACGGCCGACTCATGGAAACGACATGTCATCCGCCAACTCAAACACCGGGATAAGTATCAGAAGGCGATGTTTCAAGATGTCATACGGTCATGTATGTAGACGTTCTTTTCTGAAGGTCTTGTGTAAAAAAAAAAAAAAAAAAAAGTAGTTGTAGTTTCTTTCAGATAGCCTAAAAAGGCTTAAACAAGATTAGTTTTCCGATTCAAGGAAGTTCTGGAAATACTGTCATGCAGCAACACTAACTAGCTATGTTTCCATCCAACTGGCGACAGATTTTCATGCGAATATTATAGAATCCGCATGAAACAAATGCGAATTTACCCACCAGTGGTGTTTCCACAAAATTCACTTTTTGCGGTTAAAATCAGTGCGTGATGACGTAGTGCACACAACATGTAGGCCTACCTTTTCGCTGAAATGTTCATGTACCGATTAAAAATCTAATGTTGCATCGCATTTTCAACTCTACGGATAGTTTTGTCACAAACTGTTGCGTTAAATAGCAGATGTTCCTACTCTGGTCTTGGCAGGTGCGCTCCAGCCAACCGCTGGCAGATACAGTGCAGGTAAACTAGTCTACATGATGAGATTATTATGGACAAAAGAGCAAGATTATTTGTCAAACTGCAACCAAGCATCGATGATCATGTCACCAGTATAAGTAAGACCCTCAATATGTATTGGAAAGGCGCATCACCTTGCACTTTCAGCACCCTGTGAAGTTCATCATCATTTATTTAATCTGTAGCCTAATAAACTGCATGCTTTCCTGAGCCGTTGTAGTGGGAGGACCACACATGTCGTCGCGTGACTCCAAATGTACTTCAGTATGATAGTTATATCAATATTTGCGCATACAAGCGTTTCCACTGACATTTCGCATAATTGATTTTACCAAAACAAAAAGATCCCACCTTGTCTAGCATATCTGGTTTTGTCGACATTTGGAAAGTTTCCCAACAAATCTTCTGTTGCCAACAGCCATAGAAATGAATTTCCATGTGGGCTAGGACATTGGAAATTTAATCAAAGCCTAATGGATGAAAATATATACAGTTGAAGTCGGAAGTTTACATACACTTAGGTTGGAGTCATTAAAACTCGTTTTTCAACCACTCCACAAATGTCTTGTTAACAAACTATAGTCATACCGCTTCCTGACGCGTTCTGTCTCCTAGAGATGAACGTACTTTGGTGCGAAAAGTGAAAATCAATCCCAGAACAACAGCAAAGGACCTTGTGAAGATGCTGGTACAAAATAATCTATATCCACAGTCAAACAAGTCCAATATCGACATAACCTGAAAGGCTGCTCAGCAAGGAAGAAGCCACTGCTCCAAAACCGCCATAAAAAAGCCAGACTACGGTTTGCAACTACACATGGGGACAAAGATCGTACTTTTTGGAGAAATGTCCTCTGTTCTGTTTGGCCATAATGACCATCGTTATGTTTGGAGGAAAAAGGGGAATGCTTGCAAGCCGAAGAACACCATCCCAACCGTGAAGCACAGGGGTGGCAGCATCATGCTGTGGGGGTGCTTTGCTGCAGGAGGGACTGGTGCACTTCACAAAATAGATGGCATCATGAGGAAGGAGAATTATGTGGATATATTGAAGCAACATCTCAAGACATCAGTCAGGAAGTTAAAGCTTGGTCGCAAATGGGTCTTCCAAATGGACAATGACCCCAAGTATACTTCAAAAGTTGTGGCAAAATGGCTTAAGGACAACAAAGTCAAGGTATTGGAGTGGCCATCACAAAGCCCTGACCTCAATCCTATAGAACATTTGTGGGCAGAACTGAAAAAGCGTGTGCGAGCAAGGAGGCCTACAAACCTAACTCAGTTACACCAGCTCTGTCAGGAGGAATTGGCCAAAATTCACCCAACTTATTGTGGGAAGCTTGTGGAAGGCTACCCGAAACGTTTGACCCAAGTTAAACAATTTAAAGGGAATGCTACCAAATACTAATTGAGTGTATGTAAACTTCTGACCCACTGGGAATGTGATGAAAGAAATAAAAGCTGAAGTAAATCAATCTCTCTACTATTATTCAGACATTTCACATTCTTAAAATAAAGTGGTGATCCTAACTGACCTAAGACAGGGAATTTTTACTAGGATTAAATATGAGGAATTTAAATGTATTTGGCTAAGGTGTATGTAAACTTCCGACTTCAACTGTAACTGACTGTTCCTGCATAACATAGATACTGCATATCTCCTTATTGTATGGGACACTTTCTCTTCAAAGCTATACATGTCTTAAAACAATTTCGGTCAAATTAACCAAGGAAATGGAGTTTAAGGCACAGATGGGATCGCAATAAGAAGTACCAGTATCATAGAGGCACAGAATACGTTAGAGGAAATACAAAAAGAAATGGAAGAACTTATTCAAGAACAATCAAGTGTAATATGTTACAAAATAAAGCGAACTGGATGGAAAATTGGGGGAAAATGCACAATTCTTTATGAATGTTCAACATAAAAATGCTACCAAAAATTATTTACAGAAACTTGTTACAAATCGTCCATGATTCACCAAATTATATTTTGAAGGTGGAAGCAAAATGCTTTAAGCATATGTTTTTCATTTCAGTCTCTTCCATCTCCACTAAACACATTCTGTCCCCTATCAACACTCTTAACTTTTGGTGCCAGTGAAAATGAAAGTAGTCAAGATGACTAGCTTGATTGAGCCTCCGCCATGTACAGTGCCTTCGGAAAGTATGCAGACCCCTTGAACAGGTTTTTAGACATTATAGCAAATTTATAAAAAATAAGAAACATACGTTTCAGTATTCAGACCATTTGCTATGAGACTCGAAATTGAGCTCAGGTGCATCCTATTTCCATTGATCATCCTTGAGATGTTTCTACAACTTGATCGGAGTCCACCTGGGGTAAATTCAATTGATTGGACATGATTTGGAAAGGCGCACACACCTGTCTATATAAGGTCCCACAGTTGACAGTGCATGTCAGAGCAAAAACCAAGCCATGAGGTCGAAGGAATTGTCCGTAGGGCTCCAAGACAGGATTGTGTCGAGGCACAGATCTGGGGAAGGGTACCAAAAAATTTCTGCAGCATTGAAGGTCCCCAAGAACACAGTGGCCTCCATCATTCTTAAGTGGAAGAAGTTTGGAACCACCAAGACTCTTCCTAGAGCTGACCGCCCGGCCAAACTGAGCAATCGGGGGAGAAGGGCCTTGGTTATGGAGGTGACCAAGAACCCGATGGTCACTCTTACAGAGCTCCAGAGTTCCTCTAGGAAGATGGGAGAACCTTCCAGAAGGACAACCATCTCTGCAGCACTCCACCAATCAGGCCTTTATGGTAGAGTGGTCAGATGGAAGCCACTCCTCATTAAAAGGCACATGACAGCCCGCTTGGAGTTTGCCAAAAGGCACTTAAAGGACTCTCAGACCATGTCTCTGAATGTCCTTGAGTGGCCCAGCCAGAGCCCGGACTTGAACCCGATTGAACATTTCTGGAGAGACCTGAAAATAGCTGTGCAGCGACGCTCCCCATCCAACCTGACAGAGCTTGAGAGGATCTGCAGAGAAGAATGGGAGAAACTCCCCAAATACAGGTGTGCCAAGCTTTTAGCGTCATACCCTAGAATACTCTATGCTGTAACCACTGCCAAAGGTGCTTCAACCAAGTACTGAGTAAATGGTCTGAATACTTACGTAAATGTGATATTTCAGTTTTTTTTTTTAATTGATGAGGTGAAAAAACTATTTAAGAAATTTTAGAATAAGACTGTAACCTAACAAAATGTGGAAAAAGTCAAGGATCTGAATACTTTCCGAAGACACTGTATATCTCACTAGCCTCCATATATCCACTAGTTCCAATATATCCATAATATTTGTGATTTCCTTAAGTGCAGGAGGGTGATAGTTTGTAGTGTGATTTCTTTTACGGTTCATTGAGGTACTTAAAACTGTTTTATAATCGCCCACCATATAATAATTGAGACGCATTGCCTGTAAACTCGATAGATTATTATATATATTTTCAAAGAAGTATGGATCATCATTATTTGGACCGTATAGATTAATGAGACAAATCTGTTTATGGTCCAATAGCATATTTAAAAGGATCCACCTTCCTTGCAGATCTTTTTTAACAGTATTAAATATACTTAAGTATCAAAAGTATAAATAATTTCACATTCCTTATAGTAAGCAAACCAGACGGCATGATGTTCTTGTTTTGTATTGATGTACAGATAGCTAGGGTCACACTCCAACATTCAGACATCATTTACAAACGAAGCGTTTGTGTTTAGTGAGTCCACCAGATCAGAGGCAGTAGAGATGACCAGGGATGTTCTCTTGATAAGTGTGTGAATTGGTCAATTTTCCTGTCCTGCTAAGCATTCAAAATGTAACGTTTACTTTTGGGTGTCAGGGAAAATGTATGGAGTAAAAAGTACATTATGTTCTTTAGGAATGTAGTGAAGTAAAAGTAGTCAAAAATATAAATAGTAAAGTACAGATACCGCCAAAAAACTACTTAAGTAGTACTTTAAAGTATTTTTACTTAAGTACTTTACACCACTGTATTTTTTTGACTTGCAAACCTGCTGTAAAATGAATAAGAGTTCTTGCCAAATTAGGAGAGGTCAAGTCATTATTATTCCTTGTTTGCCATTATAGCTAAGATCCAATGGTGGTTATTGGTGAGAGTGGAGAGGGGCTCTATCTGAGGGATCAGGACGGGGGGGCTGGGAAGGCATCAGACACTTCCCTGAAGTATGTGTGGTGCCTCCACTCATCTCACTTCGGTCTCTCCGTGGACCCACTCTCCCCAAGTAGAGCCCCACCAGCCCCTATACTTTAATTCAGGTATTACAAACTGACCACAGTATTTAAGTGGCAGTCTTTCTCCAATGTATTTATAATGATATAATCCACAGATTTTTGGTACGTTAGGAGAGTTGGAGCTTAAAAGCCCTAAAAAGGCACAGATCCTCAAAGTACAAAGAAGTACTTTCCTTTCTGTTTTTTTGTGTGTTCTCTGTTAAATGTTTGCTCAGCATACATACTCACACGTTCACACATTTTTACTCCTGAACTTATTTAAGCTTGCCATAACAAAGGGGTCGAATACTTATTGACTCAAGACATTTCAGCTTAAATTAATTTGTAAAGATTTTGAAAAACACCATTCCACTTCGAAGGTTAATAATATTTACAGTATTTAAGTGGCAGTCTTTCTCCAATGTACACCACATGGCCAAAAGTATGTGGACACCTGCTTGTCGAACAGCTCATTCCAAAATCATAGGCATTAATATGGAGTTGGTCCACCCTTTGCTGCTATAACAGCCTCCACTCTTCTGGGAAGGCTTTCCACTAGATGTTGGAACACTGCTGGAGTGATTTGCTTCCATTCAGCCACAAGCATTAGTGAGGTCGGGCACTGATGTTGGGCGATTAGGCCTGGCTCGCAGTCAGCGTTACAATTCATCCCAAAGGTGTTCAATGGGGTTGAGGTCAGGGCTCTGTGCAGGCCAGTCAAGTTCTACCACACCGATCTCGACAAACCATTTCTGTATGGACCTCGCTTTGTGCACAGGGGCATTGTTATGTTGAAACAGGAAAGGGCCTTCCCCAAACTGTTGCCACAAAGTTGGAAGCACAGACTCGTCTAGAATGTCATTTGCATGCTGTAGCGTTAAGATTTCCCTTCACTGGAACTAAGGGGCCTAGCCCCAGACCATTATTCCTCCTCCACCAAACTTTACAGTTGGCACTATGCATTGGGGCAGGTAGCGTTCTCCTGGTATCCGCCAAACCCAGATTTGTCTGTCAGACTGCCAGATTGTGAAGCGTGACTCATCACTCCAGAGAATGCGTTTCCACTGCTCCAGAGTCCAATGGCGGCGAGCTTTACACCACTCCAGCCAACGCTTGGCATTGCGCATGGTGATCTTAGGCTTGTGTGTGGCTGCTCGGCCAAGGAAACCCATTTCATGAAGCTCCAGACGAACAGTTATTGTGCTCACGTTGCTTCCAGAGGCAGTTTGGAACACGGTAGTGAGTGTTGCAATCGAGGACAGACGATTTTTACGCGCTTCAGCGCTCGGCGGTCCCGTTCTGTGAGCTTATGTGGCCTACCACTTCGCGGCTGAGCCGTTACATGACCCTCCCCTGGACTAGATTTATTAAATACTAAACCCGCCCCCTATTGAAATTGAAAAAGCATGACCCTCCCCCATTTTCCTCCAGGTACCCATTATATAATGTATAGAATGTATTATACAAGAGACAAAGTTCACATTCTACAGTACAACAGCAGAGTCGTGTAAAACTAACAATGACTCAATAATTCATGCCTTTTAGGAACGCTATAAAATATAAAGTCAAAGTTATGGGCGGAGTAAGAATGCTGGCTGTCAGAAGTAAATTTACTTTTAATCCGTCTATCTGCATATTTCAAGACATGGCATATGAGGGTGACGGTGAGATACCCAATGGGGTGGACCATACTTTTCTTGTAATAATTTTGGGAAAAAAACGTCTACTCAAAAACTGGAAATCAAATGATCCTCCATCACTATGACAGTGGATGAATCAAATGTATTATTATTTAAATATTGATAAGGTGTGGGCTATGGAAGAAAAAAATATCAGTGCAGTTTGAGGCCATATGGCATAGAGTGCTACAAGCGTTGTCGGATATTTTTCATCCTGATCAGACAGACATGGACAATACATTGGAGATAATATACGACAAGTACTGGAAACAATAGTACACTATAAAACAATAGTACACTATGAAACAATAGTACACTATGAAACAATAGAACACTATGAAACAATAGTACACTATAAAACAATAGAACACTATGAAACAATAGAACACTATGAAACAATAGTACACTATGAAACACTAGAACAGTATGAAACAATAGTACACTATGAAACACTAGAACACTATGAAACAATAGTACACTATGAAACAATAGTACACTATGAAACAATAGAACACTATGAAACAATAGAACACTGAAACAATAGAACACTATGAACATAGAACACTATGAAAGAACACTATGAAACAATAGAACACTATGAAACAATAGACACTATGAAACATAGACACTATGAAACAATAGAACACTTGAAACAATAGTACACTATGAAACATAGAACACTATGTAAACACATAGAACACTATGAAACAATAGAACACTATGAACAAACAATAGACACTATGAAACAATAGAACACTTGAAACAATAGTACACTATGAAACATAAAAATAGACTATGAAACAATAGAACACTATGAAACAATAGAACACTATGAAACAATAGTACACTATGAAACAATAGAACACTATGAAACAATAGAACACTATGAAACAATAGAACACTATGAAACAATAGTACACTATGAAACAATAGAACACTATGAAACAATAGTACACTATGAAACAATAGAACACTATGAAACAATAGAACACTATGAAACAATAGAACACTATGAAACAATAGTACACTATGAAACAATAGAACACTATGAAACAATAGAACACTATGAAACAATGACACTATAACAATAGTACACTATGAAACAATAGACACTATGAAACAATAGAACACTATGAAACAATAGACACTATGAAACAATAGAACACTATGAAACAATAGACACTATGAACATAACTATGAAACAATAGTAACACTATGAAACAATAGTACACTATGAAACAATAGAACACTATGAAACAATAGTACACTATGAAACAATAGAACACTGTGAAACAATAGAACACTATGAAAAATTACACTATGAAACAAACTACACTATGAACAATAGAACACTATGAAACAATAGACACTATGAAACAATAGAACACTGTGAAACAATAGAACACTATGAAACATAGAACACTATGAACACTAGACACTATGAAACAATAAAATGAACACTATGAACAATAGAACACTATGAAACAATAGTACACTATGAAAAAATAGTAACACTATGAAACAATAGAACATAACATAAACTATGACAATAGACACTATGAAACAATAGAACACTATGAAACAATAGAACACTATGAACAAAGACATATGAAACCATAAACACTGAAACAATAGAAACACTATGAAAACAATAGAACACTATGAAACAATAGAACACTATGAAACAATAGTACACTATGAAACAATAGAACACTATGAAACAATAGAACACTATGAAACAATAGTACACTATGAAACAATAGTACACTATGAAACAATACTACACTATGAAACAATAGAACACTATGAAACAATAGTACACTATGAAACAATAGAACACTATGAAACAATAGAACACTATGAAACAATAGTACACTATGAAACAATAGAACACTATGAAACAATAGTACACTATGAAACAATAGTACACTATGAAACAATAGAACACTATGAAACAATAGAACACTATGAAACAATAGAACACTATGAAACAATAGTACACTATGAAACAGCAAGGAAACCAGGCCTGGTCTTCATAGCAGATTTTGAAAAGGCCTTTTATAAAGTACGACTAGAATACCTTCATAAAGTATTCATACCACTTGAATTATTCCACATTTTGTTGTGTTACAGCCTGAATTCAAAATTGATTAAATCTGGGGGTTTTCTCATCCATCTATACACAATACCCCATAATGACAAAGTGAAAACATGTTTTTAGAAAATGTTTGCAAATGTATTAAATGAAATACAGAAATATCTAATTTACATAAGTAATCACACCCCTGAGTCAATACGTGTTAGAATCACCTTTGGCAGCGATAACAACTGTGAGTCTTTCTGGGTAAGTCTCTAAGAGCTTTCCACACCTGGATTGTACAACATTTACCCATTTTATTATTTTCAGAATTCTTCAAGCTCTTGTCAAATTGGTTGTTGATCGTTGCTAGACAGCCATTTTATTTATTATTTATTTATTTTTTGTCATTTAGCAGACGCTCTTATCCAGAGCGACTTACAGGAGCAATTAGGGTTAAGTGCCTTGCTCAAGGGCACATTTTCAAGTCTTGTCAGTGATTTTCATGCAGATATAAGTCAAAACTGTAACTCGGCCACTCAGGAACATTCACTGTCCTCTTGGTAAGCAACTCCAGTGTAGAGGAAAACCAGTTCAGTCTGCCATGTGTTATTGTCCTGCTGAAAGGTGAATTAATCTCCTGGTGTCTGGTGGGAAAGCAGAATGAACCAGGTTTTTCTCTACGATTTTGCCTGTGCTTAGCTCCATTCCGTTTATTTTTTATCCTGAAAAACTAACTAGTCCTTAACGATTACAAGCATACCCATAACATGATGCAGCCACTACTAGGCTTGAAATATGGAGGGTTGTGAGTTGTATTCAGTAATGTGTTGTATTGGATTTGCCCCAAACATAACACTTTGTATTCAGGACAAAAAGTTAATTGCTTTGCCACATTTTTAGCAGTATTACTTTAGTGCCTTGTTGCAAACAGTATGCATGTTTTGGAATATTTTATTTTGTACAGGCTTCCTTTTCACTCTGTCAATTAGGTTAGTATTATGGAGTAACTACAATGTTGTTGATCCATCCTCAGTTTTCTCCTATCACAGCCATTAAACTCTGTAACTGTTTTAAAGTCACCATTGGCCTCATGGTGAAATCCCTGAGCGGTTTCCTTCCTCTCCGGCAACTGAGTTAGTAAGGACGCCTGTATCTTTGTAGTGACTGGGTGTATTGATACACCATCCAAAGTGTAATTAATAATTTCACCATTCTCAAAGGGATATTTATTTTTTTACCCATCTACCAATAGGTGCCCTTCATTGCGAGACATTGCAAAACCTCCCTGGTCTTTGTGGTTGAATCTGTGTTTAAAATTCACTGCTCGACTGAGGGACCTTACAGATAATTGTATATGTGGGGTACGGAGATGAGGTAGTCATTCAAAAATCATGTTAAACACTATTATTGCACACAGAGTGAGTGCATGCAACCTGTGACTTGTTAAGCAAATCTTTACTCCTGAACTTATTTAGGCATGCTATATCAAAGGGGTTGAAATGTCTAAATACATCATTCCACTTTGACATTATGGGGCATTGTGTGTAGGCCAGTGACAATTTTAAAATCAGACTTTAGCACAACAAAATGTGGAAAAAGTCAAGGGGTGAATACTTTCTGAAGGCACTGTATAAATGCATGGACTATTTTCACTTTGGGTTAAACTTATGTATAGTAACCCTAGGTGTAAAATAGTAAATAATAGCTACTTCTCAGAAAGTATTAAACTGTCAAGAGGAGTAAAAGCTATTACAGTGGGGGGAAAAAGTATTTAGTCAGCCACCAATTGTGCAAGTTCTCCCACTTAAAAAGATGAGAGGCCTGTAATTTTCATCATAGGTACACGTCAACTATGACAGACAAATTGAGATTTATTTTCTCCAGAAAATCACATTGTAGGATTTTTAATGAATTTATTTGCAAATTATGGTGGAAATTAAGTATTTGGTCACCTACAAACAAGCAAGATTTCTGGCTCTCACAGACCTGTAACTTATTCTTTAAGAGGCTCCTCTGTCCTCCACTCGTTACCTGTATTAATGGCACCTGTTTGAACTTGTTATCAGTATAAAAGACACCTGTCCACAACCTCAAACAGTCACACTCCAAACTCCACTATGGCCAAGACCAAAGAGCTGTCAAAGGACACCAGAAACAAAATTGTAGACCTGCACCAGGCTGGGAAGACTGAATCTGCAATAGGTAAGCAGCTTGGTTTGAAGAAATCAACTGTGGGAGCAATTATTAGGAAATGGAAGACATACAAGACCACTGATAATCTCCCTCGATCTGGGGCCCACGCAAGATCTCACCCCGTGGGGTCAAAATGATCACAAGAACGGTGAGCAAAAATCCCAGAACCACACGGGGGGACCTAGTGAATGACCTGCAGAGAGCTGGGACCAAAGTAACAAAGCCTACCATCAGTAACACACTACGCCGCCAGGGACTCAAATCCTGCAGTGCCAGAGGTGTCCCCCTGCTTAAGCCAGTACATGTCCAGGCCCGTCTGAAGTTTGCTAGAGTGCATTTGGATGATCCAGAAGAGGATTGGGAGAATGTCATATGGTCAGATGAAACCAAAATAGAACCTTTTGGTAAAAACTCAACTCGTCGTGTTTGGAGGACAAAGAATGCTGAGTTGCATCCAAAGAACACCATACCTACTGTGAAGCATGGGGGTGGAAACATCATGCTTTGGGGTTTTTCTGCAAAGGGACCAGGACGACTGATCCGTGTAAAGGAAAGAATGAATGGGGCCATGTATCGTGAGATTTTGAGTGAAAACCTCCTTCCATCAGCAAGGGCATTGAAGATGAAACGTGGCTGGGTCTTTCAGCATGACAATGATCCCAAACACACCGCCCGGGCAACGAAGGAGTGGCTTCGTAAGAAGCATTTCAAGGTCCTGGAGTGGCCTAGCCAGTCTCCAGATCTCAACCCCATAGAAAATCTTTGGAGGGAGTTGAAAGTCCGTGTTGCCCAGCGACAGCCCCAAAACATCACTGCTCTAGAGGAGATCTGCATGGAGGAATGGGCCAAAATACCAGCAACAGTGTGTGAAAACCTTGTGAAGACTTACAGAAAACGTTTGACCTGTGTCATTGCCAACAAAGGGTATATAACAAAGTATTGAGAAACTTTTGTTATTGACCAAATACTTATTTTCCACCATAATTTGCAAATAAATTCATTAAAAATCCTACAATGTGATTTTCAGGATTTTTTTTCTTCTCATTTTGTCTGTCATAGTTGACGTGTACCTATGATGAAAATTACAGGCCTCTCTCATCTTTTTAAGTGGGAGAACTTGCACAATTGGTGGCTGACTAAATACTTTTTTCCCCCACTGTATATCCTAATCTGACTTTGGTGCAGGTCATGTTGTTCTTCACATTACTGTCTCTGGTAACACCACACTATATCAAATAAAATCTGAGTTTATTTGTCACATGCACAGGATACATAAGGTGTAAACGGTACAGTGAAATGGTTACTTGCATAGTGGAGTCTTTTGTTTAGACATCTAGCTAGCTAGCTAAACAATGAACCATAATCCCAACTCTTAAGGCCGCGTTCAAAACAACTGGGAACTCGGAAATCTCCTACTTCCGACTTCAGTGCGTTTGAAAACAACTGGGAACTCGGAAATCTCCTACTTCTGACTTCAGTGCGTTGAAAACAACTGGGAACTTTGGGAAAAAACGAGCTCCGACTGGGAAAAATAGATTTGAACGGCCATCCAACTCGGAATTCCAACTCGGGTCCCTTTCTAGAGCTCTGACTTTCCGACCTGAAGATCACTGACGTCATGATTTGACCTCGTATTTTTCCGAGATCCCAGTTGTTTTGAATGCGGCATTACATCCATGCATGAATCTGCAGGTAGCTAAAGCTAACCAACTAGGTTCAATGTTAGCTAGCTAGCTAACATTAGGCTATAACTAGCAATGTAATTGGCTTTCTGAGATACTAATAATATTACTACACAGATCATACGCGTAACGTTAGCTAGCTAGGAGAACACAGGCAGGTAGCCTGGCAATAGGCCAGTCTACTGGAGGGAGGACTAGCTCCATTAAATCTGGGGTGAAATTGAAAACTCCTCATTATCATGGGTGTGTTGTGGCCCGCTGAATGTAAGTAGTGTAGTACTGTACTACTGTAGTGTAGTACTATAGTACTGTAGTGTAGTAGTGTAGTACTGTACTACTGTAATGTAGTACTTTAGTGTAGTACTATAGTGTAGTTCTATAGTACTGTGGTGTAGTACTGTACTACTGTAATGTAGTACTTTAGTGTAGTACTATAGTGTAGTTCTATAGTACTGTGGTGTAGTACTGTACTACTGTAGTGTAGTACTATAGTGTAGTTGTATAGTACTGTGGTGTAGGACTGTAGTGTAGTACTATAGTGTAGTACTATAGTGTAGTTCTATAGTACTGTGGTGTAGTACTGTAATGCACCAAGCACAACACAGAGAGCAGCCTGAGTGGGCCATACATGGGGCCGGGAGCTTTCCCTCACTACGTGACCAGACCAGGGGCCCTAAGAGGCCATAACTGGGGGCCTGAGCCTGGCCCCCTGTATAACCAGGGGCCCTAACTGGGGGCCTGAGCCTGGCCCCCTGTATAACCAGGGGCCCTAACTGGGGGCCTGAGCCTAGCCCCCTGTATAACCAGGGGCCCTAACTGGGGGCCTGAGCCTAGCCCCCTGTATAACCAGGGGCCCTAACTGGGGGCCTGAGCCTAGCCCCCTGTATAACCAGGGGCCCTAACTGGGGGCCTGAGCCTAGCCCCCTGTATAACCAGGGGCCCTAACTGGGGGCCTGAGCCTAGCCCCCTGTATAACCAGGGGCCCTAACTGGGGGCCTGAGCCTAGCCCCCTGTATAACCAGGGGCCCTAACTGGGGGCCTGAGCCTAGCCCCCTGTATAACCAGGGGCCCTAACTGGGGGCCTGAGCCTAGCCCCCTGTATAACCAGGGGCCCTAAGAGGCCATAACTGGGGGCCTGAGCCTGGCCCCCTGTATAACCAGGGGCCCTAACTGGGGGCCTGAGCCTAGCCCCCTGTATAACCAGGGGCCATAACTGGGGGCCTGAGCCTAGCCCCCTGTATAACCAGGGGCCCTAAGAGGCCATAACTGGGGGCCTGAGCCTAGCCCCCTGTATAACCAGGGGCCCTAACTGGGGGCCTGAGCCTAGCCCCCTGTATAACCAGGGGCCCTAACTGGGGGCCTGAGCCTAGCCCCCTGTATAACCAGGGGCCCTAAGAGGCCATAACTGGGGGCCTGAGCCTGGCCCCCTGTATAACCAGGGGCCCTAACTGGGGGCCTGAGCCTAGCCCCCTGTATAACCAGGGGCCCTAACTGGGGGCCTGAGCCTAGCCTCACTTCTATACAGGGGGAAAAGTAGATTACATTTATTCCCGGTACGTGGACCTCGTATGTGTTCACATGCTTTTAAATGATGGGCCTTATCATAGAATTAGGTTTACGTATAGTCTAGAATCCCTATAGGATCTCAATGGGCCTAGTAGCACATATGTCGTTTAACTTTTTAAAATGTATTAGCTTACATTTTTTTATGTGGCATAAACACAACCAGTCATGATGTTTTCATCTGATTGTCAAACAATTACTTCAAAAACGTTCACGTGGGATGCTTGATTATTAATTTGTTAAGCCTAATTTACATACTTCTCTGCTTATTTCTGACATTTGAAAGGCTATTTGTTAGTCAACTTGTCTAACTAGATACAGTGGGGAAAAAAAGTATTGAGTCAAATCAAATGAAATAAAATTTTATTGGTCACATGCGCCAAATACAACAGGTGCAGACATTACAGTGAAATGCTTACTTACAGCCCTTAACCAACAGTGCATTTATTTTTAACAAAAAAAGTAAAAATAAAACAACAACAAAAAAAGTGTTGAGAAAAAAAGAGCAGAAGTAAAATAAAACAACAGTAGGGAGGCTATATATACAGGGGGGTACCGGTGCAGAGTCAATGTGCGGGGGCACCGGCTAGTTGAGGTAATATGTACATGTGGGTAGAGTTAAAGTGACTATGCATAAATAATTAACAGAGTAGCAGCAGCGTAAAAAGGATGGGGTGGGGGGGCAGTGCAAATAGTCCGGGTAGCCATGATTAGCTGTTCAGGAGTCTTATGGCTTGGGGGTAGAAGCTGTTGAGAAGTCTTTTGGACCTAGACTTGGCACTCCGGTACCGCTTGCCGTGCGGTAGCAGGGAGAACAGTCTATGACTAGGGTGGCTGGAGTCTTTGACAATTTTGAGGCCACCAATTGTGCAAGTTCTCCCACTTAAAAAGACGAGAGAGGCCTGTAATTTTCATCATAGGTACACGTCAACTATGACAGACAAATAGAGAAAAATAAATCCAGAAAATTACATTGTAGGATTTTTAATGAATTTATTTGCAAATTATGGTGGAAAATAAGTGTAGATGCAGCTTATCTTCTGTCATTACTTGATGCTGGTCTAGAATACTAAATAAAGTCTTGCTCACCAGAATAATGTCATAAATGATACAATGATCAATGCATCATCCACAATCTAGTTGACATAGGTAAAGATCTCTCTTTCATTTTTGCTTCTCTTATGGAGCGAGGCCATTTAGGGACCAGGGAGATTTTCCAAATTACATCAGTTTAAATGGTTTTAAGGAAATGAAAAGCTGTGAAAAAACGATCCAACAAGTTTCTGATAGAATATGCATCCAAGACTAACTGAAATACTATGTGGTTGAAAAATGAAATACTGTCCAGCTTTTATGTCGCTGGAAGAAATGTTAGGTTTAGGCTACACAACGCGCGTTAGCATTCTCTCAAGATGCTGAAAGAAATAAATCATACTTCTCCACTCCTGTTCCCGAGACAAAATGTACATTTGATCTATAACTTTACTGTGAGGAACACTTCATTGTGCAGGAGTTAATATTATAATGGGCTACATGTAAAGCCTACAGTCAGTGTCCAGACTTCAGTTACTTTTCCAACTATTAGGCTACGTATGGAACATTTCTGGGATCTTTTATTTCAGCTCATGAAACATGCGACCAACATGTTGCGTTTTATATTTTGTTCAGTATACAGTGAGTTCGGAAAGTATTCATGTTACGTTACAGCCTTATTCAAAAATGTATTAAGTAAATAATGTTCCTCATCAATCTACACACAATACCCCATAATGACAAAGCAAAAACGTTTTCCTTTTTTTTGTGCAGATTTATTAAAAATATGAAACAGAAATACCTTATTTACATAAGTATTCAGACCCTTTGCTATGAGACTTGAAAATGAGCTCAAGTGCATCCTGTTTCCATTGATCATCCTTGAGATGTTTCTACAACTTGATTGGAGTCCACCTGTGGTAAATTCAATTGATTGGACATGATTTGGAAAGGCACACATCTGTATTTGTATTTATTATGGATCCCAATTAGCTGCTGCCAAGGCTACGCTTCCTGGGGTCCAGCAAAATTAAGGCAGTTCATACAATTTTAAAAGCATTACAATACATTCACATTTCACAACACACTGTGTGCCCTCAGGCCCTTACTCCACCACTACCACTTATCTACAGTACAACAATCCATGTGTACGTGTGTGTATATTGCGTATGTTATCATGTGTTTGTATGCATGTGTCTGTGTCTATGTTTGTGTTGCTTCACAGTCCCCGCTGTTCCATAAGGTGTATTTTTATCTGTTTTTTAAAATCTAACTTTACTGCTTGCATCAGTTACTTGTTGTGGAATAGAGTTCCATGTAGTCATGGCTCTATGAGTCTGTTATGGACATGTCATGCCTACATTTGCTAATCTTGCCAATGAAAAAATAATTAAAGTAGTTGGCAATATCAGTTGGTTTTGTGATGAATGAGCCTTCTGATTCAATGAATGATGGAGCTGAGTTTGCCTTTTTCCCCAAAATTTCATTTAAGGTACTCCAAAGCTTTTTACTATAATTCTTTGTCATTTATTTTTGTTTTTGTCATTTATTTTTGTTTCATAGTGTAGTTTCTTATTTTCATTCAGTTTAGTCACATGATTTCTCAATTTGCAATACGTTTGCCAATCGGTTGTGCAGCCAGACTTATTTGCCATTCCTTTTGACTCATCCCTCTCAACCATACAGTTTTTCAGTTCCTCATCAACCCACGGGGATTTAAGTTTTTACAGTCATTTTCTTAATGGGTGCATGCTTATTAGTAACTGGAATAAGCAATTTCATAAATGTGTCAAGTGCAGTGTCTGTTTGCTCCTCATTACACACCGCGGACCAACATATACAGTTGAAGTCGGAAGTTTACATACACTTAGATTGGAGTCATTAAAACTCATTTTTAAACCACTCCACACATTTCTTGTTAACAAACTATAGTTTTGGCAAGTCGGTTAGGACATCTACTTTGTGCATGACACAAGTAATTGTTCCAACAATTGTTTACAGACAGATTATTTCACTTATAATTCACTGTATCACAATTCCAGTGGGACAGAAGTTTACATACACTAAGTGGACTGTGCCTTTGAACAGCTTGGAAAGTTCTAGAAAATGATGTCATGGCTTTAGAAGCTTCTGATAGGCTAATTGACATAATTTGAGTCAATTGGAGGTGTACCTGTGGATGTATTTCAAGGCCTACCTTCAAACTCAGTGCCTCTTTGCTTGACATCATGGGAAAATCAAAAGAAATCAGTCTGGTTAATCCTTGGGAGCAATTTCCAAACGCCTGAAGGTACCACATTCATCTGTACAAACAATAGTACGCAAGTATAAACACCATGGGACCACGCAGCCGTCATACCGCTCAGGAAGGAGACGCGTTCTGTCTCCTAGAGATGAACGTACTTTTCCCCAGATCTATGCCTCAACACAATCCTGTCTCTGAGCTCTACAGACTATTCCTTCAGATTCTGTCTCTCACAGTTGAAGTGTACCTATGATAAAAATTACAGACCTCTACATGCTTTGTAAGTAGGAAAACCTGCAAAATCGGCAGTGTATCAAATACTTGTTCTCCCACTGTATGATGTTTTTTTTGTTAGTGTCTAGTAGAGTCAATCAGTTCTTTAAAATCCAGTTTAAACAGTTCAGAGCTGCCCTTCATAATGTCATTAAAACCCACATGGACTACGATATAATCAATTTCCATGTCCTGACTTAGTACATTCAGGAGCAGCTTAGTAATGTATTTTACTTGAGCTCCGGGATAGGATATTGTTTTTGCACCAGGAACAGTCACATTTCTATCATGGAGCTGCCCAAAATCACGGCTGGCGAGAAGGACGAGGAAATCCGCCCACTCCCACACTTCAAAGGATGGTGCAGGCCTCCGACAGATGGAGAACCCTGCTCGATCCAGAGCAGGGACGGAAGGTTGCCGACGTCGACTTCCAAATCGTAGTAGACACAGGCACCCCCAGCGACGTAGGTGCAAGAAGATCAGGCTCCAGGGCGGCGAAACTATTGGTTGTTTGTATCCGCTCCGGGCCTCTCGTTGGGAGTGTAGACTGCTTTGCAGCAGGCTGCTGTCTTCGGCTTCCACGGCTCGTGACATGCGACCATCGTTGATTGCCTTTCTCCTCATGCTGTGCTCCTTCGACGGCGCTACCAGAATGGGGAGCTCCGGGCAACACCGGCCAGTCGGATAACGACAAACGACAAGACGGAGATGCATTCAACAAGCGCGAACGCCGTCCAGCCACCAGCCTATAAAGGTAAACATTCCACTCTGCGTTTTTCCCCAGTTTCTTACGTGGCGACAAGCACCTCAAGCCCATAATCCTCGGCAAGTAAACAATTGCCGCATTGGAACTCCGAGTGATCCGAAACAAAGCGAAATAGATACAGCTCCTACAGCACTGGAACCGTTCATTTAGTTCTCCAGACGCAAAAACAATTTCTGTGTTCGTATTTATGAATAGCATTTTTGTTTTAATCAAAAATAACAAACCAAGTGTTTTCCAGCATACAATGTTCAGCTGCGCGCTCTGATCTATGTCAGGTCCCACAGTTGACAGTGCATGTCAGAGCAAAAACCAAGCCATGAGATCGAAGGAATAGTCTGTAGAGCTCAGAGACAGGATTGTGTCGAGGCATAGATCTGGGGAAGGGTACCAAAAAATGTCTGCAGCATTGAAGGTCCCCAAGAACACAGTGGCCTCCATCATTCTTAAATGGAAGAAGTTTGGAACCACCAAGACTCTTCCTAGAGCTGGCCACCCGGCCAAACTGAGCAATCGGGGGAGAAGGGCCTTGGTTATGGAGGTGACCAAGAACCCGATGGTCACTCTTACAGAGCTCCAGAGTTCCTCTAGGAAGATGGGAGAACCTTCCAGAAGGACAACCATCTCTGCAGCACTCCACCAATCAGGCCTTTATGGTAGAGTGGCCAGACGGAAGCCACTCCTCAGTAAAAGGCACATGACAGCCCGCTTGGAGTTTGCCAAAAGGCACCTAAAGGACTCTGACCATGAGAAACAAGATTCTCTGGTCTGATGAAACCAAGATTGAACTCTTTGGCCTGAATACCAAGCGTCACATCTGGAGGAAGCCAGGCACCGCTCATCACCTGGCCAATACCATCCATACAGTGAAGCGTGGTGGCAGCATCATGCTGTGGGGATGTTTTTCAGCGGCAGGGACTGGGAGACTAGTCTAACATCTCTGGAGAGACCTGAAAATAGCTGTGCAGCGATGCTCCCCATCCAACATGACAGAGCTTGAGAGGATCTGCAGAGAAGAATGGGAGAAACTCCACAAATACGGGTGTGCCAAGCTTGTAGCGTCATATGCTAAATGATGTAAATGTAATACCCAAGAAAACTTGAGGCTGCAACCACTGCCAAAGGTGCTTCAACAAAGTACTGAGTAAAGGGTCTGAATACTAATGTAAATGTGATATTTCCGTTTTTTTTTAAATACATTTGCAAACATTTCTATAAACCTGTTTTTGCTGTGTCATTATGGGGTGTTATGTGTAGATTGATGAGGGAAAAAAACTATTTAATCAATTTTAGAATAAGGCTGTTAAGTAACAAAATGTGAAAAAATTCAAGGGGTCAAATTACTTTCCGAATGCACTGTATATTGATGTTCTGTGTTCTATATTGATGTTCTGTGTTCTATATTGATGTTCTGTGTTCTATATTGATGTTCTGTGTTCTATTTTGATGTTCTGTGTTTGATATTGATGTTCTGTGTTCTATATTGATGTTCGGTGTTCTATATTGGTGATGTCATCCTACAGATATCAATCTGCTGGAGAAGTCCAATCAGAGAGCCATCATCACTAAAGGCATCCTGGGATCTGGTTCAAGGTCATTATTACACTAGAAGAATGAGGTTGTCAATGTACTTAATTCTCAATGGACGTATTTAGCTTGTTTGGATGTGTAAGGCCAGGAGTTTCCCACTCAGGAAGAACTCTGCCCTATTGATGTGTGTGATAGAAATCTGTATGGAATATTTCCTGTGAGAGATTGTTTGTCCTGTTTGTTAAGTGTCTGTGTGTTTTGTATTTGTATTTATTATGGATCCCCATTAGTTCCTGCCAGGGCAGCAGCTACTCTTCCCGGGGTTTATTATGGATCCCCATTAGTTCCTGCCAGGACAGCAGCTACTCTTCCTGGGGTTTATTATGGATCCCCATTAGTTCCTGTCAAGGCAGCAGCTACTCTTCCTGGGGTTTATTATGGATCCCCATTAGTTCCTGCCAGGACAGCAGCTACTCTTCCTGGGGTTTATTATGGATCCCCATTAGTTCCTGCCAGGACAGCAGCTACTCTTCCTGGGGTTTATTATGGATCCCCATTAGTTCCTGTCAAGGCAGCAGCTACTCTTCCTGGGGTTTATTATGGATCCCCATTAGTTCCTGCCAAGGCAGCAGCTACTCTTCCTGGGGTTTATTATGGATCCCCATTAGTTCCTGCCAGGGCAGCAGCTACTCTTCCTGGGGTTTATTATGGATCCCCATTAGTTCCTGCCAAGGCAGCAGCTACTCTTCCTGGGGTCCAAACACATTAAGACACTTATGTTACACTTAAAATAAAACAGTACATCATATAACATTATTATACCACTACATATCTACAATACAACATGTATAATCCCACCATACAACAATATTACAATGTACGTGTGTGTAGAGTGTGTGTGCTAGCGTTTGTGTGTGTATGCGTGTGTCTGTACCCCTGTGTGTGTCTCTTCACAGTCCCCGCTGTTCCATAAGGTGTGTTTTTACCTGTTTTACCTGTTTTATCTGTTTCTACTGCTTACATCAGTTACTTGATGTGGAATATAGTTCCATGTAGTCATGGCTCTATGTAGTACTGTGCGCCTCCCATAGTCTGTTCTGGACTTGGGGACTGTGAAGAGACCTCTGGTGGCATGTCTTGTGGGGTATGCATGGGTGTCCGAGCTGTGTGCTAGTAGTTTAAACAGACAGCCCGGTACATTCAGCTTGTCAACACTTCTTACAAAAACAAGTAGTGATGAAGTCAATCTCTCTCCCACTTTGAGCCATGAAAGATTGACATGCATATTATTAATGTTAGCTCTCTGTGTACATTTAAGGGCCAGCCGTGCTGCCCTGTTCTGAGCCAATTGCAATTTTTTTAAGTCATTCTTTGTGGCACCTGACCACACTACTGAACAGTAGTCTGGGTGCGATTGTGGGTTTGACGTCTTGAGACCCTAACCTGTGAACGTGTCTTTGACCTCACAGGTACCCAGCCTCCTCCAACGATTCCTTGACGTCTCTGATTTCCAAGAATGATGATCTGAAGAAAACAACTGGAGAGGTAGGAAACAGCAAGTAACTGTGTAATATACAGGCAGGGACTCTTGATTTGACATTATGCTGTCGGCAACAGTTTCAGTTTCAGTTCATCATTCAGAGAGCTGCCATGTTGAAAATCAACTCACTGGCAACATCACCTTATCGTTGCATTATTGATATAAGGCGTAGTCTCCACCAATCTGTCATAAAGCAAAACATATGTATTGTGATACTGTCTGTCAGTGATACCCAGAGAGAGAGAGAAAGACTAAACCAAGAAGCAGACATCCTGCCTTACATGTTTACATTTACATTTTAGTCATTTAGCAGACGCTCTTATCCAGAGCCACTTACAGTTAGTGAGTGCATGCATTATTTTTTTATTTTCATACTGGCACCCCGTGGGAATCGAACACACAACCCTGGCGTTGCAAACGCCATGCTCTACCAACTGAGCTACATCCCTGCCGGCTATTCCCTCCCCTACCCTGGACGACACTGGGCCAATTGTGCGCCGCCCCATGGGTCTCCCGGTCGCGGCCGGCTACGACCGAGCCTGGATTCGAACCAGGATCTCTAGTGGCACAGCTAGCACTGCGATGCAGCGCCTTAGACCACTGCGCCCCTCGGGAGAGCCTTGTTCTGGTCCTGTGAATGGTGTGCTCCTTATTCAACTGTAAAAGGCATCAGTTTGCTGATCATCTCTGTCTTTGACATCTACGGCATAGAGATACAATATCTTACAATACAATGCCTGATAACTGTGAGTCTCTACTGTGTCTTTAGTTGACAGACTCTACTGTGAGTCTCTACTGTGTCTCTAGTTGACAGACTCTACTGTGAGTCTCTACTGTGTCTCTAGTTGACAGACTCTACTGTGAGTCTCTACTGTGTCTCTACTTGACAGACTCTACTGTGTTTTCTAGCTGGCCTACCAGGTAGTGGAGCTCCAGCAGGAGATTAAGATCAAAGACTCCGTACTGGAAGAACAACATGCCAGGTGAGACTGATTCTGTAGAACAACATGCCAGGTGAGACTGATTCTGTAGAACAACATGCCAGGTGAGACTGATTATGTAGAACAACATGCCAGGTGAGACTGATTCTGTAGAACAACATGCCAGGTGAGACTGATTCTGTAGAACAACATGCCAGGTGAGACTGATTCTGTAGAACAACATGCCAGGTCAGGGTGATTCTGTAGAACAACATGCCAGGTGAGACTGATTATGTAGAGCAACATGCCAGGTGAGACTGATTCTGTAGAACAACATGCCAGGTGAGACTGATTCTGTAGAACAACATGCCAGGTGAGACTGATTCTGTAGAACAACATGCCAGGTGAGACTGATTCTGTAGAACAACATGCCAGGTCAGGGTGATTCTGTAGAACAACATGCCAGGTGAGACTGATTATGTAGAGCAACATGCCAGGTGAGACTGATTCTGTAGAACAACATGCCAGGTGAGACTGATTCTGTAGAACAACATGCCAGGTGAGACTGATTCTGTAGAACAACATGCCAGGTGAGACTGATTCTGTAGAACAACATGCCAGGTCAGGGTGATTCTGTAGAACAACATGCCAGGTGAGACTGATTATGTAGAGCAACATGCCAGGTGAGACTGATTCTGTAGAACAACATGCCAGGTGAGACTGATTCTGTAGAACAACATGCCAGGTGAGACTGATTCTGTAGAACAACATGCCAGGTGAGACTGATTCTGTAGAACAAGGTGAGGCTGATTCTGTAGAACAACATGCCAGGTGATTCTGTAGAACAACATGCCAGGTGAGACTGATTATGTAGAACAACATGCCAGGTGATTCTGTAGAACAACATGCCAGGTGCGACTGATTCTGTAGAACAACATGCCAGGTGAGACTGATTCTGTAGAACAACATGCCAGGTGAGACTGATTCTGTAGAGCAACATGCCAGGTTATTCTGTAGAACAACATGCCAGGTGATTCTGTAGAACAACATGCCAGGTGATTCTGTAGAACAACATGCCAGGTGATTCTGTAGAACAACATGCCAGGTGAGACTGATTCTGTAGAACAAGGTGAGGCTGATTCTGTAGAACAACATGCCAGGTGATTCTGTAGAACAACATGCCAGGTGAGACTGATTCTGTAGAACAACATGCCAGGTGAGGCTGATTCTGTAGAACAACATGCCAGGTGATTCTGTAGAACAACATGCCAGGTGCGACTGATTCTGTAGAACAACATGCCAGGTGAGACTGATTCTGTAGAACAACATGCCAGGTAAGACTGATTCTGTAGAGCAACATGCCAGGTTATTCTGTAGAACAACATGCCAGGTGATTCTGTAGAACAACATGCCAGGTGATTCTGTAGAACAACATGCCAGGTGATTCTGTAGAACAACATGCCAGGTGATTCTGTAGAACAACATGCCAGGTGATTCTGTAGAACAACATGCCAGGTGAGACTGATTCTGTAGAACAACATGCCAGGTGAGACTGATTCTGTAGAACATCATGCCAGGTGAGACTGATTATGTAGAACAACATGCCAGGTGAGACTGATTCTGTAGAACAACATGCCAGGTGATTCTGTAGAACAACATGCCAGGTTAGGGTGATTCTGTAGAACAACATGCCAGGTCAGGGTGATTCTGTAGAACAACATGCCAGGTCAGGGTGATTCTGTAGAGCAACATGCCAGGTTAGGGTGAGTCTGTAGAACAACATGCCAGGTCAGGGTGATTCTGTAGAACAACATGCCAGGTCAGGGTGATTCTGTAGAACAACATGCCAGGTGCGACTGATTCTGTAGAACAACATGCCAGTTTAGACTGATTCTGTAGAACAACATGCCAGGTTATTCTGTAGAACAACATGCCAGGTTATTCTGTAGAACAACATGCCAGGTGCGACTGATTCTGTAGAGCAACATGCCAGGTTATTCTGTAGAACAACATGCCAGGTGATTCTGTAGAACAACATGCCAGGTGATTCTGTAGAACAACATGCCAGGTGATTCTGTAAAACAACATGCCAGGTGATTCTGTAGAACAACATGCCAGGTGAGACTGATTCTGTAGAACAACATGCCAGGTGAGACTGATTCTGTAGAACAACATGCCAGGTGAGACTGATTCTGTAGAACAACATGCCAGGTGAGACTGATTCTGTAGAACAACATGCCAGGTGAGGCTGATTCTGTAGAACAACATGCCAGGTGATTCTGTAGAACAACATGCCAGGTCAGGGTGATTCTGTAGAACAACATGCCAGGTCAGGGTGATTCTGTAGAACAACATGCCAGGTCAGGGTGATTCTGTAGAACAACATGCCAGGTCAGGGTGATTCTGTAGAACAACATGCCAGGTGAGACTGATTCTGTAGAACAACATGCCAGGTGAGACTGATTCTGTAGAACAACATGCCAGGTGGTTATGTAGAACAACATGCCAGGTCAGACTGATTCTGTAGAACAACATGCCAGGTGAGACTGATTCTGTAGAACAACATGCCAGGTGAGACTGATTCTGTAGAACAACATGCCAGGTAGGGCTGATTCTGTAGAACAACATGCCAGGTGATTATGTAGAACAACATGCCAGGTCAGACTGATTCTGTAGAACAACATGCCAGGTGAGACTGATTATGTAGAGCAACATGCCAGGTGAGACTGATTCTGTAGAACAACATGCCAGGTGAGACTGATTCTGTAGAACAACATGCCAGGTGAGACTGATTCTGTAGAACAACATGCCAGGTGAGACTGATTCTGTAGAACAACATGCCAGGTAAGACTGATTATGTAGAGCAACATGCCAGGTGAGACTGATTCTGTAGAACGACATGCCAGGTGCGACTGATTCTGTAGAACAACATGCCAGGTGCGACTGATTCTGTAGAACAACATGCCAGGTGCGACTGATTCTGTAGAGCAACATGCCAGGTGATTCTGTAGAACAACATGCCAGGTGCTTCTGTAGAACAACATGCCAGGTGATTCTGTAGAAGAACATGCCAGGTCATTCTGTAGAACAACATGCCAGGTGATTCTGTAGAACAACATGCCAGGTGAGACTGATTCTGTAGAGCAACATGCCAGGTGAGACTGATTCTGTAGAGCAACATGCCAGGTGCGACTGATTCTGTAGAACAACATGCCAGGTGAGACTGATTCTGTAGAACAACATGCCAGGTGAGACTGATTCTGTAGAACAACATGCCAGGTGAGACTGATTCTGTAGAACAACATGCCAGGTGAGACTGATTATGTAGAACAACATGCCAGGTGAGACTGATTCTGTAGAACAACATGCCAGGTGAGACTGATTCTGTAGAGCAACATGCCAGGTTATTCTGTAGAACAACATGCCAGGTGATTCTGTAGAACAACATGCCAGGTGATTCTGTAGAACAGCATGCCAGGTCATTCTGTAGAACAACATGCCAGGTGATTCTGTAGAACAACATGCCAGGTGAGACTGATTCTGTAGAACAACATGCCAGGTGAGACTGATTCTGTAGAACAACATGCCAGGTAATACTGTAGAACAACATGCCAGGTGATTCTGTAGAACAACATGCCAGGTGAGACTGATTCTGTAGAGCAACATGCCAGGTGATTCTGTAGAACAACATGCCAGGTCAGACTGATTCTGTAGAACAACATGCCAGGTGAGACTGATTCTGTAGAACAACATGCCAGGTGAGACTGATTATGTAGAGCAACATGCCAGGTGATTCTGTAGAACAACATGCCAGGTGATTCTGTAGAACAACATGCCAGGTGAGACTGATTCTGTAGAACAACATGCCAGGTGAGACTGATTCTGTAGAACAACATGCCAGGTGATACTGTAGAACAACATGCCAGGTGATTCTGTAGAACAACATGCCAGGTCAGACTGATTCTGTAGAACAACATGCCAGGTGAGACTGATTCTGTAGAGCAACATGCCAGGTGATTCTGTAGAACAACATGCCAGGTGATTCTGTAGAACAACATGCCAGGTGAGACTGATTCTGTAGAACAACATGCCAGGTGAGACTGATTCTGTAGAACAACATGCCAGGTGATACTGTAGAACAACATGCCAGGTGATTCTGTAGAACAACATGCCAGGTGATTCTGTAGAACAACATGCCAGGTGAGACTGATTCTGTAGAACAACATGCCAGGTGAGACTGATTCTGTAGAACAACATGCCAGGTTAGGGTGATTCTGTAGAACAACATGCCAGGTTAGGGTGATTCTGTAGAACAACATGCCAGGTCAGGGTGATTCTGTAGAACAACATGCCAGGTCAGGGTGATTCTGTAGAGCAACATGCCAGGTTAGGGTGAGTCTGTAGAACAACATGCCAGGTCAGGGTGATTCTGTAGAACAACATGCCAGGTCAGGGTGATTCTGTAGAACAACATGCCAGGTGCGACTGATTCTGTAGAACAACATGCCAGTTTAGACTGATTCTGTAGAACAACATGCCAGGTTATTCTGTAGAACAACATGCCAGGTTATTCTGTAGAACAACATGCCAGGTGCGACTGATTCTGTAGAGCAACATGCCAGGTTATTCTGTAGAACAACATGCCAGGTGATTCTGTAGAACAACATGCCAGGTGATTCTGTAGAACAACATGCCAGGTGATTCTGTAAAACAACATGCCAGGTGATTCTGTAGAACAACATGCCAGGTGAGACTGATTCTGTAGAACAACATGCCAGGTGGGACTGATTCTGTAGAACAACATGCCAGGTGAGACTGATTCTGTAGAACAACATGCCAGGTGAGACTGATTCTGTAGAACAACATGCCAGGTGAGGCTGATTCTGTAGAACAACATGCCAGGTGATTCTGTAGAACAACATGCCAGGTCAGGGTGATTCTGTAGAACAACATGCCAGGTCAGGGTGATTCTGTAGAACAACATGCCAGGTCAGGGTGATTCTGTAGAACAACATGCCAGGTCAGGGTGATTCTGTAGAACAACATGCCAGGTGAGACTGATTCTGTAGAACAACATGCCAGGTGAGACTGATTCTGTAGAACAACATGCCAGGTGGTTATGTAGAACAACATGCCAGGTCAGACTGATTCTGTAGAACAACATGCCAGGTGAGACTGATTCTGTAGAACAACATGCCAGGTGAGACTGATTCTGTAGAACAACATGCCAGGTAGGGCTGATTCTGTAGAACAACATGCCAGGTGATTATGTAGAACAACATGCCAGGTCAGACTGATTCTGTAGAACAACATGCCAGGTGAGACTGATTATGTAGAGCAACATGCCAGGTGAGACTGATTCTGTAGAACAACATGCCAGGTGAGACTGATTCTGTAGAACAACATGCCAGGTGAGACTGATTCTGTAGAACAACATGCCAGGTGAGACTGATTCTGTAGAACAACATGCCAGGTAAGACTGATTATGTAGAGCAACATGCCAGGTGAGACTGATTCTGTAGAACGACATGCCAGGTGCGACTGATTCTGTAGAACAACATGCCAGGTGCGACTGATTCTGTAGAACAACATGCCAGGTGCGACTGATTCTGTAGAGCAACATGCCAGGTGATTCTGTAGAACAACATGCCAGGTGCTTCTGTAGAACAACATGCCAGGTGATTCTGTAGAAGAACATGCCAGGTCATTCTGTAGAACAACATGCCAGGTGATTCTGTAGAGCAACATGCCAGGTGAGACTGATTCTGTAGAGCAACATGCCAGGTGCGACTGATTCTGTAGAACAACATGCCAGGTGAGACTGATTCTGTAGAACAACATGCCAGGTGAGACTGATTCTGTAGAACAACATGCCAGGTGAGACTGATTCTGTAGAACAACATGCCAGGTGAGACTGATTATGTAGAACAACATGCCAGGTGAGACTGATTCTGTAGAACAACATGCCAGGTGAGACTGATTCTGTAGAGCAACATGCCAGGTTATTCTGTAGAACAACATGCCAGGTGATTCTGTAGAACAACATGCCAGGTGATTCTGTAGAACAACATGCCAGGTCATTCTGTAGAACAACATGCCAGGTGATTCTGTAGAACAACATGCCAGGTGAGACTGATTCTGTAGAACAACATGCCAGGTGAGACTGATTCTGTAGAACAACATGCCAGGTAATACTGTAGAACAACATGCCAGGTGATTCTGTAGAACAACATGCCAGGTGAGACTGATTCTGTAGAGCAACATGCCAGGTGATTCTGTAGAACAACATGCCAGGTCAGACTGATTCTGTAGAACAACATGCCAGGTGAGACTGATTCTGTAGAACAACATGCCAGGTGAGACTGATTCTGTAGAACAACATGCCAGGTAAGACTGATTATGTAGAGCAACATGCCAGGTGAGACTGATTCTGTAGAACGACATGCCAGGTGCGACTGATTCTGTAGAACAACATGCCAGGTGCGACTGATTCTGTAGAACAACATGCCAGGTGCGACTGATTCTGTAGAGCAACATGCCAGGTGATTCTGTAGAACAACATGCCAGGTGCTTCTGTAGAACAACATGCCAGGTGATTCTGTAGAAGAACATGCCAGGTCATTCTGTAGAACAACATGCCAGGTGATTCTGTAGAGCAACATGCCAGGTGAGACTGATTCTGTAGAGCAACATGCCAGGTGCGACTGATTCTGTAGAACAACATGCCAGGTGAGACTGATTCTGTAGAACAACATGCCAGGTGAGACTGATTCTGTAGAACAACATGCCAGGTGAGACTGATTCTGTAGAACAACATGCCAGGTGAGACTGATTATGTAGAACAACATGCCAGGTGAGACTGATTCTGTAGAACAACATGCCAGGTGAGACTGATTCTGTAGAGCAACATGCCAGGTTATTCTGTAGAACAACATGCCAGGTGATTCTGTAGAACAACATGCCAGGTGATTCTGTAGAACAACATGCCAGGTCATTCTGTAGAACAACATGCCAGGTGATTCTGTAGAACAACATGCCAGGTGAGACTGATTCTGTAGAACAACATGCCAGGTGAGACTGATTCTGTAGAACAACATGCCAGGTAGGTGATTCTGTAGAACAACATGCCAGGTGATTCTGTAGAACAACATGCCAGGTGAGACTGATTCTGTAGAACAACATGCCAGGTGAGACTGATTCTGTAGAACAACATGCCAGGTGATACTGTAGAACAACATGCCAGGTGATTCTGTAGAACAACATGCCAGGTCAGACTGATTCTGTAGAACAACATGCCAGGTGAGACTGATTCTGTAGAGCAACATGCCAGGTGATTCTGTAGAACAACATGCCAGGTGATTCTGTAGAACAACATGCCAGGTGAGACTGATTCTGTAGAACAACATGCCAGGTGAGACTGATTCTGTAGAACAACATGCCAGGTGATACTGTAGAACAACATGCCAGGTGATTCTGTAGAACAACATGCCAGGTGATTCTGTAGAACAACATGCCAGGTGAGACTGATTCTGTAGAACAACATGCCAGGTGAGACTGATTCTGTAGAGCAACATGCCAGGTGATTCTGTAGAACAACATGCCAGGTGATTATGTAGAACAACATGCCAGGTGATTCTGTAGAACAGCATGCCAGGTGTGACTGATTCTCTAGAACAACATGCCAGGTGAGACTGATTCTGTAGAGCAACATGCCAGGTGATTATGTAGAACAACATGCCAGGTGATTCTGTAGAACAACATGCCAGGTGCTTCTGTAGAACAACATGCCAGGTGAGGCTGATTCTCTAGAAGACTAACCAGCTTCACATTCCTGCCTGCAGCTCTCCTCCTTTGAAACCTGTAGGAAGGACCTGTTGAAACTTGAAAGCACTGGCAAGCACAGCTAAATATAGCTATGGTTTGCAATTTGTGAATCCTAGGTCACTATGATCACACAATCACATGAGCAATCTGATGCTACTGAATGTGGTGGTGCAGTAGTACAGGAAAATGTGGTCATGGAATATCCTTGGCCCTAGTTAATAGACACTAACTGTATCTGTGTGTTCAGGATGTGTGAGGTGCAGAGGTATCTGCTGCGGGTGCAGGCTGAGGATGGTAGTCTGGCGGAACGTGTTGCTGAGGTGACGGAGGGGAACCGGCTGTTGAAACGGGAGTACGACTCTTTGCTGGAGCGGCACCATGATATGGACCAGACCTTCAGAGAGGAGAAGCTCAGGGGTCAGGAACTGCTTGAGGAACTTGTCCGGGGGAAGCAGCACGCAGCCGTCAGGATGAACAGCCGCAACGAGAGACGAGTCAGGTGAGATCAACCCTAACCCTGACCCTGCTGGGGGTCAAAGAGAGACGGGTCAGGTGAGATCAACCCTAACCCTGACCCTGCTGGGGGTCAAAGAGAGACGGGTCAGGTGAGATCAACCCTAACCCTGACCCTGCTGGGGGTCAAAGAGAGACGGGTCAGGTGAGATCAACCCTAACCCTGACCCTGCTGGGGGTCAAAGAGAGATGGGTCAGGTGAGATCAACCCTAACCCTGACCCTGCTGGGGGTCAAAGAGAGATGGGTCAGGTGAGCTGCTTCCTGGGGTCAAAGTTCAGGGCCCCGAGTTTTTCCTGAAGAGTGGTGGGGGGGAATATGCATATCAAAGGCTGACCGTGTACAGACTTACATTTCCTGACCATTTGATCTCACCAAGAAAAACTCTGGGCCCTAATTAAAGTCTACAGGTTATAACTATACTGATTTTACTGAGTTACAATTCATATAAGGAAATCAGTCAAGGAATTGAAATAAATGAATATGGCCCTAATCTATGGATTTCACATGACTGGGCAGGGGCACAGCCATGGGTGGGCCTGGGAGGGCATAGGCCCACCCACTGGGGAGCCCATTCAATCAGAATGAGTTTTTCCCCACAAAAGGGCTTTATTACGAACAGAAATACTCCTCAGTTTCATCAGCTGGTCTGGTCTCCGATGAGCCCGCAGGTGAAGAAGCCGGATGTGGAGGTCCTGGGCTGGTGTGGTTACACGTGGTCTGCGGTTGTGAACCGGGTGGACGTACTGCCAAATTCTCTAAAACGACTTTGGAGGTGGCTTATGGTAGAGAAATTAACATTTAATTCTCTGGCAACAGCTCTGGTGGACATTCCCGCAGTCAGCATGCCAATTACACGCTCCCTCAAAACCTGAGACATCTGTGGCATTGTGTTGTGTGACGAAACTGCACATTTTAGAGTGGCCTTTTATTGTTCCCAGCACAAGGTACACCTGTGTAGTGACCATGCTGTTTAATCAGCTTCTTGATATGCCACACCTGTCAGGTGGATGGATTGTCTTGACGAAGGAGAAATGCTCACTAACAGGGATGTAAACGAATTTGTGCGCAAAATTTGAGAGAAATAAGCTTTTTGTGTGTATGGACAATGTCTGGGATCTTTTATTTCAGCTCATGAAACACGGGACCAACACTTTACATGTTGTGTTTATATTTTAGTTCAGTGTAGTCAAAGGCTATAGGTTATAACTAGTTAAAGGCCAGGTGAGGGGATACATAGGGAAACCTTACATAGTGGATAGGAGTACTTACTTGAGGGCAATCCAATCTGGATTAATTAGGACAATAAGATAAAAAAAACAAAGTGTCAATATTAAGACACCTAAAAAGGACAGAAATGTAAGACTCACATTAAAGTGTTTAAGACTGAGATATTGCATTAAGGCAACTTTCCGTTTTTTGACAAGAGACTCCTTCAAGTGACTTGTTCATTAGCAACACTAGTCAGTCCACTTTATTCACAGGTTATAACTAGTTATAGACTATAGGTTATAACTAGTTAAAGACTATAGGTTATAACTAGTTAAAAACTATAGGTTATAACTAGTTAAAGACTATAGGTTATAACTAGTTAAATACTATAGGTTATAACTAGTTAAAGACTATAGGTTATAACTAGTTAAAGACTATAGGTTATAACTAGTTAAATACTATAGGTTATAACTAGTTAAAGACTATAGGTTATAACTAGTTAAAGACTATAGGTTATAACTAGTTAAAGACTATAGGTTATAGACTATAGGTTATAACTAGTTAAAGACTATAGGTTATAACTTGCCCTCGTCAAGTCACGTGCAGGAAAAACTCCAGGCCCTATGAAGCATTAATGAATGTATTCAGAGTGAGTTGTTTCTGTAATGTTGTTGTCATTCCTTTCAACTGTCAACCCCACAGAGCCAGAGAGGCAAGTCTTCAGAAGGAACTGGAGACCGCTGGGAAGGTGAAGGTGACAATCGATGTGTAAGTAACTAGATTATATAGCCTACGTCGATGTTTAAGTAACTAGATTATATAGCCTACGTCGATGTTTAAGTAACTAGATTATATAGCCTACGTCGATGTTTAAGTAACTAGGTTATATAGCCTACGTCGATGTTTAAGTAACTAGATTATATAGCCTACGTCGATGTTTAAGTAACTAGATTATATAGCCTACGTCGATGTTTAAGTAACTAGATTATAGGGCGGCAGGTAGCTTAGTGGTTAAGAGCGTTGTGCCAGTAACCGAAAGGTCGCTGGTTCTAATCCCCGAGCCGACTAGGTGAAAAATCTGTCGATGTGCCCTTGAGCAAGGCACTTAACCCTAATTGCTCCTGTAAGTCGCTCTGGATAAGAGCGTCTGCTAAATGACCAATTATTAATTATAATTATTATATAGCCTACGTCGATGTTTAAGTAACTAGATTATAATAGCCATACGTCGATGTTTTAAGTAACTAGATTATATAGCCTACGTCGATGTTTTTAAGTAACTAGATTATATAGCCTACGTCGATGTTTAAAGTAACTAGATTATATAGCCTACGTCGATGTTTAAGTAACTAGATATATAGCCTACGTCGATGTTTTAAGTAACTAGATTATATAGCCTACGTCGATGTTTTAAGTAACTAGATTATATAGCCTACGTCGATGTTTAAGTAACTAGATTATATAGCCTACGTCGATGTTTAAGTAACTAGATATATAGCTACGTCGATGTTTTAAGTAACTAGGTTATCTAGCCTACGTCGATGTTTAAGTAACTAGATTATATAGCCTACGTCGATGTTTTAAGTAACTAGATTATATAGCCTTACGTCGATGTTAAGTAAACTAGATATATAGCCTACGTCGATGTTTCAAGTACTAGATTATATAGCCTACGCGATTTTTAAGTAACAGGTTATATAGCCTACGTCGATTTTAGTAACTAGATTATATAGCCTACGTCGATGTTTAAGTAATAGGTTATATAGCCTACGTCGATGTTTAAGTAACTAGTTTATATAGCCTACGTCGATGTTTAAGTAACTAGGTATATAGCCTACGTCGATGTTTAAAGTAACTAGATTATATAGCCTACGTCGTGTTTTAAGTAACAAGATTATATAGCCTACGTCGATGTTGGTTAAGTAACTAGATTATATAGCCACGTCGATGTTTAAGTAACTAGATTATATAGCCTACGTCGATGTTTAAGTAACTAGATTATATAGCCTACGTCGATGTTTAAGTAACTAGATTATATAGCCTACGTCGATGTTTAAGTAACTAGATTATATAGCCTACGTCGATGTTTAAGTAACTAGATTATATAGCCTACGTCGATGTTTAAGTAACTAGTTATATAGCCTACGTCGATGTTTAAGTAACTAGATTATATAGCCTACGTCGATGTTTAAGTAACTAGATTATATAGCCTACGTCGATGTTTAAGTAACTAGATTATATAGCCTACGTCGATGTTTAAGTAACTAGATTATATAGCCTACGTCGATGTTTAAGTAACTAGATTATATAGCCTACGTCGATGTTTAAGTAACTAGATTATATAGCCTACGTCGATGTTTAAGTAACTAGATTATATAGCCTACGTCGATGTTTAAGTAACTAGATTATATAGCCTACGTCGATGTTTAAGTAACTAGATTATATAGCCTACGTCGATGTTTAAGTAACTAGATTATATAGCCTACGTCGATGTTTAAGTAACTAGATTATATAGCCTACGTCGATGTTTAAGTAACTAGATTATATAGCCTACGTCGATGTTTAAGTAACTAGATTATATAGCCTACGTCGATGTTAAGTAACTAGATTATATAGCCTACGTCGATGTTTAAGTAACTAGATATATAGCCTACGTCGATGTTTAATTAAACTAGATTATATAGCCTACGTCGATGTTTAAGTAACTAGATTATATAGCCTACGTCGATGTTTAAGTAACTAGTTTATATAGCCTACGTCGATGTTTAAGTAACTAGGTTATATAGCCTACGTCGATGTTTTAAGTAACTAGAGTTATATAGCCTACGTCGATGTTTAATAACGAGGTTATTAGCTACGTCGATGTTTAAGTAACTAGATTATATAGCCTACGTCGATGTGTAAGTGTAATCAAACTCTTTAGTTTAGATTGTATAGTCCCATTGATGTGTAAGTAGCTCTCACTAGATTGAGAATAGGTTAAAGTTTTCCCCTTGTATTGTAGTAGCTCATGTCCAGAGGCACACACAAAGCTAAAGGATAATAAAGTGTTGTGCTGTTTCCCTTCCAGCGGGTCTGTCAGTGCCCCCGCCTCCAGAGAAGCCTCCCCTAAGAGTGATCTGACAGAGAGACGGACCGCTAGAATGTTCAGGTAGATGAAGGCTGAGAGAAAGAACCACTAGAATGTTCTGGTAGATGAAGGCTGAGAGACGGACCACTAGAATGTTCAGGTAGATGAAGGCTGAGAGACGGACCACTAGAATGTTCTGGTAGATGAAGGCTTAGAGACGGACCACTAGAATGTTCTGGTAGATGAAGGCTGAGAGACGGACCACATTCTGAAGGCTGAGAGACGGACCACTAGAATGTTCTGGTAGAGGAAGGTGGAAAGACGGACCACTAGAATGTTCTGGTAGATGAAGGCTGAGAGACGGACCACTAGAATGTTCTGGTAGATGAAGGCTGAGAGACGGACCACTAGAATGTTCTGGTAGATGAAGGCTGAGAGACGGACCACTAGAATGTTCTGGTAGATGAAGGCTGAGAGACGGACCACTAGAATGTTCTGGTAGAGGAGGGCTGAGAGACGGACCACTAGAATGTTCTGGTAGAGGAAGACTGAGAAACGGACCACTAGAATGTTCTGGTAGATGAAGACTGAGAGACGGACCACTAGAATGTTCTGGTAGAGGAAGAAATGACAGAAATCCCTCAAAGTTCACATGGCGTTTATGGGCCTTTCCTTCCCATGGAAGTAGACAAAAAACAAGATTCTTGTTGGAACTCATTGTCGGGGTATAGAGTTTTCAGATTCCAACTCAAAGTAACTTTCATTTTCAAAGTGTAATGTTCTAATGGTGAAATGTTTATTATATATATATATATATATATATATATATATATTTAAATATAAAAAATAATGAAATGCATTTAAAGAATGCTTACACTGCATGATTAGTTCCAAAGCGATCTTCAGTCACTATGCTACAGATGTAGCTAGGATCTTCATTTGATCACTCTTTTCTTGCTGAGAATTTTCCTGCACCTCAGGAAATGCAAACGTGTAGTGTATTTGAGTTTTAAAAGTTTGTCATTTCCACTTTGAATATTTCAGACTTGATTTGCCCTAACGAACAATGTATCAACCCCTACAAAAATGTCCATTAATTATAATCCACATAATAATTCACATTTCCTGACGCTGCAGGATTATTTTCCTGCTGTAGCAAACTGGCTCAGATTAAGATCCTACATCTGTAACATCACAATGCTAACTACATCACAATGCTTACTACATCTACATTGATTAAACCATTCCTTCAAGTGTGTTTTAAAAGTTCTAAAAACTTCACTTAACTTTTTTTCCTAGGTCAGCCTCAGTAACATCCCCTCCCAGGATTCTAGATTCCATCAAAGAGCTTTTTGAGTGAGTTACATAGACAGAATAATATTAATGTTCTATGCTTCTATGGTTACATAGACAGAATAATATTAATGTTCTATGCTTCTATGGTTACATAGACAGAATAATATTAATGTTCTATGCTTCTATGGTTACATAGACAGAATACTATTAATGTTCTATGGTTACATAGACAGAATAATATTAATGTTGTTAAACACATAGATATTCATCATAACTATAGGTTGAAGAAACGTTCAAAGTTCTTGAAATTTTCCATATTGACTGACCTTTATGTCTTAAAGTAATGATGGACTGTCATTTCTCTTTGCTTATTTGAGCTGTTCTTGCCATAATATGGACTTTTACCAAATAGGGCTATCTTCTGTATATCCCCCTACCTTGTCACAACACAACTGATTGGCTCAAACGCATTAAGAAGGAAAGAAATTCCACAAATTAACTTTTAACAAGGCACACCTGTTAATTGAAATGCATTCCAGGTGACTACCTCATGAAGCTGGTTGAGGGAATGCCAAGAGTGTGCAGAGCTGTCATCAAGGCAACGGGTGGCTACTTTGAAGAATCTCAAATATAAAATCTAATTTGATTTGTTTAACACTTTTTTTTGGTTACTACATGATTCCATATGTGTCAGTTCATAGTTTTGACGTCTTCACTATTATTCTACAATGTAGAAAATAGTAAAAAAAATATAAAGAAAAACCCTGGAATGAGTAGGTGTGTCCAAACTTTTGACTGGTACTGTAGGTGTTTGGCACTTGCCTCACATAGTCCTGACATTAATCTGCTAATGTTAACTCTCACTCAGCTCAATCACAAAGAAACCCCACTTCTCCCACTCATGCACGTTGATGATGAAGTCTTCCCTAACCCTATTTCCTTCATAGTGTACGTATTAGGTTAGGGTTAACACGCAACAACCACGGCACTTTATTTACACACTACTCCTTGATGATTTATGCTAACCAACATTACAACTCGGTTTACAGCCAGATGGCAGATATGTAGACACATAATCTGCTTATTTCTTAGTCTAATCATACAGTATGTGTGCCTATAACCCACAGATCTGCAGGTGTGCATCATACCGTTATATTTCAGACAGACGGACAGACAGACGGACACAGACGGACAGACGGACAGACAGACAGACGGACACAGTCAGACAGACAGACGGACACAGTCAGACGGACACAGACGGACACAGACGGACAGACGGACACAGTCAGACAGACAGACGGACACAGTCAGACGGATCATGATATTTTATCAGGAAAACCCCTGGCCCTAGTTACTGTACATTTAGAAAGATTTTTACTAGGAAAAATCAAGGGCCTATATCCTACAATAAATGAATGACTTGGACTGAAATAGGTTCCGGTACTCATTTTGGGTGCCGGTACTGTTTAGGTGCAGGAGCTCCACAATATTTTTGAACTAATATTCTATAAGAGGAACAGGAGCTCAAGTAGAAGAACATTTGAGGTGCCAGTACTCCGCTCCAGTGACCTCCTGCCCAACAAGTCGAGCACTGCGAAAAGTATAGGGCCCAGATTTTTTTTTCTCCTGGTAGGGCCGCTTGGTTAGGAAAAACTCCTGCCGCTAACTGAGTTCTGTTGTGTTTCTAAGCAGAAAGAAGCGTCGGGGGAACTCGCTGTGTCTGAGTCTGAAGGAGGACCTGTATGTTCCTGTAGGGATCTGTCTGGCTGCCAGGGTCCCTGCTAGGGCCCTGCATGTCCTGGTAAGACCTAAAGCCTAACCTTAACCCTGCATGTCTTGGTAAGACCTTAAATATGCACTGTCGAACTTTTTGTATAATTTCAGCCTGTCGTTTTTAAAGGAGCGCTCACAAGCCAAAAGTGGTCCCTCGAAAACTGCACACTACGTCACATATGTTCAGATCGCGCTCTCTCTCTCTCTCTCTGCTGTGTCCACTGAGCCGTTGGGCCCGCCCTGCAACCTCATTGGATAACGCTGGGCAGGCCTCTTGGTAGCTGTCACTCAAATGGGCGATGGGCTCTCTCCATCATACCTGTCTCTCTCTCTCCACCATACCTGTCTCTCTCTCTCCACCATACCTGTCTCTCTCTCTCCACCATACCTGTCTCTCCCTCTCCACCATACCTGTCTCTCCCTCTCTCACCATACCTGTCTCTCTCTCTCCACCATACCTGTCGCTCTCTCCATCATACCTATCACTCTCTCACATACCTGTCTCTCTCTCTCCATCATACTTGTCTCTCTCTCTCCACCATACCTGCCTCTCTCTCGTCATACCTCTCCCTCTCTCTCACCATACCTGTCTCTCTCTCTCTCAACATACCTGTCTCTCTCTACCATATCTGTCTCTCTCTCCACCATACCAGTCTCTCTCTCTCAACCATACCTGTATCTCTCTCTCACCATACCTGTCTCTCTCTCACCATACCTGTCTCTCTCTCCATCATACCTGTCTCTCTCACCATCAAGCCTGTCTCTCTCTCACCATACCTGTCTCTCTCTCACATACCTGTGTCTCTCTCTCCACCATACCTGTCTCTCTCTCCATCATACCTGTCTCGCTCTCTCACCATACCTGTCTCGCTCTCTCTCATCATACCTGTCTCTCTCTCATTATACCTCTCTCCCTCTCTCACCATACCTGTCCTCTCTCTCTCTCTCTCTCTCTCTCTCTCTCTCTCTCTCTCTCTCTCTCTCTCTCTCTCTCTCTCTATACATGTCTCTCTCTCATCATACCTGTCTCTCTCTCTCATCATACCTGTCTCTCTCTATCATACCTGTCTCTCTCTCTCACCATACATGTCTCTCTCACCATACATCTCTCTCTCTCATCATACCTGTCTCACTCGCTCTCCACCATATCTTTCTCTCTCTCCATCATACCTGTCTCACTCTCTCTCACTATACCTGTCTCGCTCTCTCTCTCACCATACCTGTCTCCCTCTCTATCTCACCATACCTGTCTCGCTCTCTCCACCATACCTGTCTCTCTCTCGCTCTCCACCATACCTGTCTCTCTCACCATACCTCTCTCTCTCTCACCATATCTGTCTCTCTCTCTCTCTACCATACCTCTCTCTCTCTCTCTCCTCCTCTCTCTCTCCTCTCTCTCTCTCTCTCTCTCTCTCTCTCTCACCATACCTGTCTCTGTCTCTCTCATCATACCTGTCTCTCCCTCTCTCACCATACCTGTCTCTCTCTCTCCATCATACCTGTGTCTCTCTCTCTCCATCATACCTGTCTCACTCTCTCGCTCACCATACCTGTCTCTCTCTCTCCACCATACCTGTCTCTCTCTCTCCACCATACCTGTCTCTCTCTCTCCAAGTGACTGAGTCCATTGTATCAGGGCAGGGACACATTAGGACAGACGCATATCAGTCCATTGTATCTGGGCAGGGCCACATTAGGAACTATTCAGGCCCTTGTTATTACCATGTAAATAGAGGTGGTGGAAGGATACAGGAAGCCCCTGGTGAGCGGTTAGCCTGTCCTGATCCGTGCTCTCTGAGAGGACAGAGTTCCTCTGTGTGTTCTAAACAGTCTCCTCTCTGTCACACACAGCAGCTCTGTTACTGGGACTCTCTGTCGCTGCTCAGGGACATTTTCACTGAATGGCCAGGCCCACGCAGCCACAGAGGAACTAGCATGATCCGCTCGCCCAAGGAAGATGCCCTCCGCTTCCTGCCCCCCCCCCTCCCACGTCCCTTCCTACCACTTCCTTATTTGGAGAAGTGTCATATAGTCAGTGTGATCTGCATTAACTCTGTGCTGTGGCTCTCTGCTCATTCTCCATTAGATTTAGCCACTCTACAGGTATCTTGTTTTGGTGTGGCTCACTCAGGAAATGGGGCCTATTTAACTGTCTGTTTCCATATCATATCACAGTGACCGCGGTTGTTTTGTGAGACTGCGTGTTGTTTTTGTTTGCAGGGTAATGTCACATCACAGTTTTTTTGTCCTCTGAGCCCAGTTTTTCCTAAAGTTATCTACCTGGATTTCACCGATCGGATAGGATTAAATACATAAAAATGTAATAAACAGAACAGACTAATAATTGACTTGAATGGGGACTCCCATTCTATTTTTTTATATTTCTAATGCATTTAATCCTGTCCAATAGCCAAAATCCAGATAGATAACTTTTTTTATTTTTACTGGGCCCAGACCACATACAGTATACTGTGGTTTAGGTTTGAGTCATTCACACTCACTTTGATTTGAAGAAGTATGTTGTTTATATCTGCAGCATCAGAACACTCAAACTGAGACACCATTTATTTTGTAACCTATTGATTTAAGTAAGGGATAATCAACAAGGGGCTATGCATTCTATGGGAAATAATGCACGGCATGGAAGGTGTGTGCCACGACATGCTAACCTTGAGCTGGTAAGACAACTGGCCACCCCTCAGAGCCTGGTTCCTCTCTAGGTTTCTTCCTAGGTTCCTGCCTTTCTAGGGAGTTCAAACCCCCCCTCAGAGCCTGGTTCCTCTCTAGGTTTCTTCCTAGGTTCCTGCCTTTCTAGGGAGTTCAAACCCCCTCATAGCCTGGTTCCTCTCTAGGTTTCTTCATAGGTTCCTGCTTTCTAGGGAGTTTTTCCTAGCCACCGTGCTTCTACTTCTGCATTGCTTGCTGTTTGGGGTTTTAGACTGGGTTTCTGTACAGCACTGCTCTTTCCATGACATAGACTGACCAGTCTACTGAATCCAGGTGAAAGTTATGATCCCTTATTGATGTCACCAGAATTTTTAAGCCTTGAGATAATTGAGACATGATGTGTATGTGTGCCATTTAGAGGGTGACTGAGCAAAACAACATTTGTCCCTTTTTGAACGGGGTATGGTAGTAGGTGCCAGGAGCACCAGTTAAAGTGTGTAAAGAACTGCAACGCTGCTGGGTTTTTCACGCTCTACAGTTTCCTGTGTGTATCAAGAATGGTCCACCACCCAAAGGACATCCAGCCAACTTGACACAACTGTGGGAAGCATAGAGTACCACTGTACGAATCATAATACCCATAAAACCTAGCGGTCAAACAGGGAAATGGTTCCAATCGTTTTTCCACCATTCATTCTTCCCATAGGGGGTTTTAGAAACCCTTAAAATAAGGGCTGTGTTTCATGTAGGCTTACCCTGGCGTCACGCTTTGATAACCATGTAAATCTCTCTAGGACAAGGTGATTTTTATCAATATATTTACCCCCCAAAAATGAAAGGCTAATTAGCTGGTAATGTGGCTATCATAAAGAACTACAAATGCCAAGATGAATGAGACTGACGAATCGAGGCAAAGGTAAGAATCTCTGGATTATCTATCTGTTAGCTAAATGTACACTGAAAAAAAATATAAACACAACATGTAAAGTGTTGGTCCCATGTTTCATGAGCTGAAATAAAAGATCCCAGAAATCTTCCATACGCACAACAAGCTTTTTTCCCTAAAATGTTCACAAATGTGTTTACACCCCTGTTAGTGAGCATTTTATCCTTTGCCAAGATAATCCTTCCACCTGACAGGTGTGGCATATCAAGAAGCTGATTAAACAGCATGATCATTACACAGGTGCACCTTGTGCTGGGGACAATAAAAGGCCACTCTAAAATGTGCAGTTTCGTCACACAACACAATGCCACAGATGTCTCAGGTTTTGAGGGAGCTTGCAATTGGCATGCTGACTGCAGGAATGTCCACCAGAGCTGTTGCCAGATAAATAATGTTAATTTCTCTACCATAAATCCTCACAACCGCGGACCACGTGCAACCACG